GGATATATTGCTGATGACTGTTGACCATGATGATTGCTAGACAATTAGCCACTGCGGGCTTTAAACTATAATTTGCTGGTGCTCTAATGCAGTTGGCATAATTTTGTAAATAAGTGCCAATTAGCACCACCACAGACACAAAATTTATGTTCAAGATGGTGAGAAATAATGCAGTAACAGGCAGAAGTGGGAAATTTGCTATTCTGTAGCATCATCTAGTGATGAATGAAGACGTGAAATGGTGAATAGTAACGAAATGAAAATTTAAAACACAGCATAGCGACAGGGGGAAATAAAATACAAAACGGAAAAATATAATATAGTGAGTACTCATGAAATATAAAATAAAATAAATACATGAATAATAAGATGAAAATAATAAAGCAAATCTGTATCCTGCATTGCCTGAAAATAAATTCAAAAACTGCTTTGTCAGTTAAATTGAATTAATTTCTGTACATATACAACAATTTACAATTATGTATATCAGGTAGTAAGCTGTAATGTGGAAAAACATCCTTGGCCACTTGTATGGGGTGCAGAATCATTCGGAGCATATGGGCTTCTGTCCGTCAGGACACTATCTGCGCACTAATTGAATCAGTACCTCGTAGAGTTACAGCTTGCATCGCCAGCATGCAGGTGGTTATACATCTTACTGATTCCCTGCATATTTCAGCACTGTATAAATTTAACTTTCTATATGTAACATTACATATTTACGTATGCATGCTCTGTTTATGTATCAATTGACATCACATTCTATCCAGTCTTTCATGTTGTTGCATTTTCAATGTTGAGCAGGCAGTATGTGTGGATAGTCAGCACCTGCAGTATATCTGTAGAAATTATGTGCATTCATCAGCATGAAATCTTCAACATGTGGGATACTGGGATCTGGATTTAAACGGATGTTTCGAACAAAGGATCATTGGTAATGTTTATGAGAATTTTATTTTGAAAAATCCAGATTTTTATATGGTCAGTTTCTGTTAGCATTTGCTGAAATTGGAGCTCCATAGAAAAGAATAAGGCAGATAAGTGCAAGATAGAGAGTTCTTTTCACTTTTAGGTATAGTTTCAATTTACGATCAATTAAACTGTGAATAGACCTGTAGGTAGCATACGCTTTATTGAGTGCATAATTAATATGCTCTTTAAAATTTAACTACTCATCCAACATGATTCCAACATAGTTCATAATGGGAGTGGATGGTTGTTTATATACATGTTGAGTTTGACTTTGAGGTTTGTACCATAACTCCTGAATAGAATGACTTCATTTATTTGAGTTTAATTTTAGTTTCAATAAATTGCTACAATGTGCCATAATGCTAAATCTAAATTGTAAATTATCAATAGCTTTTTGGGAGTTTCTGGATCTGTACATCACAGCAGTATCATCAGCATATTTTGTGACCTTGCAGTCTAGGGGTTCTAGAAAATTGTTGAGATAAATATTAAAGAGTTCCACAGCTGAGATTGTATCTTGTAACACACCTGCTTTGATAAATTTTTACTTGAGAGCGTGTAATTACACACTCTCAAGTCTCAATTCTGATTTGGAAAATGCGACATTTTAAATACGGATTAAGAAATAGAATCAATTTTCGTGGAAGCTTAATAGAGATAAGTTTGTAAATTAATCCAGGATGCCAGATTCTATTGAAAGCTCTTTTTTTTTTTTTTTTTTTTTTTTTTTTTTTAGATCGAGGAAACGAGCTACAATGCTGAATTTATTGGTGAATACTTTTGCTATTTTTTCCACCATGTTTAATACAGTCAAAAGTCGTTAATCCGGACTCGGCGGGACTTCGGCGATTCCGGATTATCGATTTTTCCGGATTATAGATCATCAGTTTAAATCTGGTAAGATGGCATGCAGAAATTACAAAATTAAAAATATGAAACCATAATTTATAAAATAAAGAACAATTATGATCTAAAGGGTATCAAAATTAACAAAAAGAAAAATCTTAATATTTATTTGTTTACTTTATTAAACATTTCTTTCAATGTAAGTTGCTTCGTTTCATGTGATAATACTTTCTCTTTAATTCTATTAAAAAGACATAATTTCTTGTTTAGTTACAAAGTTCCGCTGTTCAAGTCCTAGAATTGCTGTGTCGAGAATACTGACTAATTTGTCAATCGAAATTTTTTCGTTTTCAATAACCTCTGTCACTTTCTTCACTATTGGAAGCGAATTATAATGACGAGGAACTTGTTTTAAATCATATCAAAGACGGAGTACATCGAGATGAAATACTACATTTAGTAAGGAATTATAAGCCAAATAAATTAAAAACATCTGCCCTGAAATAAAGATAGTGCTGACAGATCAACTTCCAATTCATTGCGCGCTTGCGGCGTTCCCCTTGCCGAGCAGCATGAAATTGATAAACAGATTTCGGATTTCGAAACATACTTTCGCTTTAGATGCTTTACATATTAGCAAATATATAGTGGAAATTCTATTTGATATAATCGAAAGTTCAAGCTTACTTTTATAAAATTGCTCTAACAGTCTGCAAAAAATAATAAGCCGGATCCAATTTGAAGATTAAGAAACAACGCAATCTGCAACGTTAACTGAATTAGATAATTTTAGCTTAGCTTATACCGTCCGTTCTACGTTTACGTGCACGTGCACAGACATATTCGCAGCCGTATAGGTCTTACGCGCACACATAAATGCCTATGCGCATGCGTCAACGCGACACATGCGCAGGAAGTTTGTAGCTTTGAGGTCCAAATTATAGATCATTCCGGATTATGGGTGTCCGAATTAACGACTTTTGACTGTAGTTGCATTATAGAACTTGATGGGAGCTGTATCAGTTATTATTAATGATATTATTTTTGAAAAAATATTGAGTTTGTCTTAAATAGGCTTTTTAAGTATTTTTCTGAGACATGGTAGAAGATTTTTAGGTCTATAACAGGCTGGCTGTTTTTCATCTTTTCCCAATTTTAGGAACATAACAGTAATTGAGTGTTTTAATGGTTGTGGAAAATATTTAATCTTAAGCATGTGTTCATGATATTAGTTAGGAGTATGTTGCATCTTCTCTTGTTGGGCTTTTTTTTTTTTTTTTTTTGCTTTAATAGATATTTCGTTATATCCAGTGGCTTTTTTAGCATTTAATTGGTTTATGACATTATTGCTTTCAGTGGATGAAATGTAAGGAATATTTTCATTTTCCAAGAGACTGTTTTGAAGATAGTAGTTCACTTCACCGATGATAATGTCATCATGTTTGGGATTTCCCATGTCATTAGCAGAGAAAGTTTTTTCCAGTTCTGTTGTGAAATCTACAAATTCTTTCTCCGAGCAAGCTAAAGGGTTTCCATATAGTCAAGGACTTGTTAATTTCACCATTTTGGAATTTTAATTTTAACTTGTTTATTAAACCTTTTTTTAAAAGAATTGATAGATGTATGATTAGTGGTGAGGCATAAGGGGCTTGCACAAATTTTTTTTTTTTTTATATTTGTTTCTAATTTGCAAGTGCTTTGTTCTTGCTAATTAATTTTGCTAAAAAAAAAAAAAAAAAAAAAAATTATTCTTGTTTAAATTTAAAGGAATCAGAAGGGTTAATGAGAAAGCACAAATTATCACAATGCAAAAACTGAACTGCTCTGCATTATCTTTACAAGAATAGGTTATTGTAGTTATTAAATAATTATAAAGTAAAAAATGAAATGGCAAAGAGCTCAATGATAAGGAATTAAGAGAAATTTTTAATGTTTCTTATCTATGGACATGGAAGAAGTAAAATGCCCAAAGCCAAACGGGAAAAAAAGCAGCAAACAATAAAAGTTTGTGTTGGAAGTGAGAAATAAAAATAAATGATTTTTTTTTTTTTTTTTTTTTTTTTGTATTTTATTGAATGGACTTTAACCTACTGCTCATAGGATCCATGAATAGTTCATGTTCACAAATGTTTTTTTCTTTACAAGAATCTTTGCAAGGTTGTTGTGACAATAATTTCAATGGTACATATGAATAAATAGTTTTTTCAGGTTTAAGAAAATTTTTCATTTAAATTGTAAGTATTGCAAACATAGGTGATCAATTTCGTGAGAAAACAAAGAAAAACAAGATATATATTTTCTGTGTCCCCATCCGCATTTTGTACCTGCGATCAGCAGTTTATCAGGAAAACTGTGTAATGAAATTTCTAATAGTATGAGGAAAGTATTAAGTTTTATTATAGAGACTTTTACTATTAATGGCAATGTAGTTTAATGAGTTTTGAACTTGATGAACAAAATTTCTATAAGAAATTTGACTGTAATATATATTTCAGATTTAAATACTATCTTCTTAAGCAAGAATCTTTAAGAGAAGTATTTAAGTCTTAAACTTTGTGTAAAACCTTATATTTTATCTGCAAATCAATTAAAAAATCAACTGACAAGGAAGAATATATAATGTAACAATTTATAAATTGTATTACATTTGTATATTGTTTCATGTGATTTCTGTGATATTTTTAGTTATTTTTTTAAGCGTTTTATTCATGCACAGTTCTATGCATTTTTTTCTTCTGGCAATTAAAACATTTGATTAATATTTAATATTTTACTTAAAATTATCTCCAGCATGGGAGACTGTGTATCGGAAATTCTAAAGATATGCTCTTTTTAAATATTTCGTGATATTGCTGTTGAATCAAATTTTTGTGGTTTAAGTGCAAAAAATATGATATTTGATAAATAAAGGTAACATAAAAAGCTTTCAGATTTTTTTTAATTGTTTTGTAGTTGCTTGTTTAAGTTTAGATCAATTTATAAAGTTGATTGACTTCACATGTTTATTTTTCAAATGTTGCAATGTTTAAATTTATTAAATTGTGATAATTATTTGTAAATAATTAATGTTTAGTGAATTTGTAAACCATAAAATTTAAAAATGTTTTTACTTCTGCAAAATTTCAATTTTCTGGAAATTTGAGAGTCATCATATATTTCGTGGCTCTGTTTTATTCCAATAGGAATTAATGTTAGAGTTCATCAGCTTGCAGCTCTCTTTACATCATCCCAAAGGTGCTGTCAAGCAAGAAAATGGAGCTCGAGCTGCTGATTGGCAAACATGGAAAAATCACCTTCTACGTCTTTACAAAGTTATTTTGGTAGAAGTGACTGAGCTGTGTGAAACAAACAAGTATTCTGCAAGGTATGAAAGGTACAAACATTTAATATTTTAAAGCTGTTCACTTTATATATAATTTCTTAATATTGTTTAGATTGTTGTTTTCCTATTTAGACATCTTTCATAATAATTTGCAGTTAATTTTTATATTCAATTCAGTTGCCAGAATGGACATGCTTATATGATCCAGAGCCTTTAGAAAATTTTGTATGGATAGCATTTGTTTTACTATCAAGTAGTTGTTCGTCTGTACCATACATGTAGAAAATTGTTCAGATGTGGAACTGCAGAAATTATTGTAAGCTGGATTGAGTTATTCAATTTAGACCAAGCACATATGGATAATTTACCCAAGTTTCATCTCAATTTTGACCAAGAGCAACCCAGGGGATGGAATGCAAGGATTTTACATCCCAAATTCTGCTATCACCTGTTCTTCAAGACTTTCAAATCAACACATTTTATATTTCTCATTAAACATTCATGCATTTTCCATGTGTAGGAGCATAGCCCAATAACATGAGCTGACACCCTGTGACACTATATTATCTTAGGATGGCATAATGGCATAATTCATTCTAATTGATGTTATCTGAAATATATAGCACTTTAGAATGGATCAACATTCTTGTCTGATTTCTGGTTACTTTTATGTGTTTTTGAAATGGCTATCTTTGTTGGTTATTGTGTTGCTATTTACACTGAGATGCATTTTTGTGTTAAATTTATCATAATAAAGAAGTTTATGTAAACACGAATTGCTATGACTGTTGTTACAAACAGGGCTATTCCAAATATCCATATGGCTCACAGCTTTGGTTTGGTGCATCTTCTTTGCAATCCATCTTGCATGAATATAAAAACACTGTTCCTTCTTTAGAAATTTACTGTCTTTGCCTTTCTAACCCAAGCACAGAAATCTTAATTACCTGTAGAAAGAAAGCAATGTGTTCAAAAGGAGATTAGATCCACTCTAAAAGAACAATATTTATTGTTGTCAGTACAGTACCAAAGAAAATAAACACATGAAAACCTCCCTTCATGGTAATAAATTTTGAATGATATTGATATAAAGAATTCTTTCAAGGCATTCCATTCATCCTTTTAATTATATGAACCAGATGTTACAGTCTGTTATTTTAAAATAAGCATTTCAAGGCTTGTTTATCCTCCCCTCATTTATGATTGTAATGTATACCACCATCACCATGCTGAGGGGATTAGGGGATTTTAGCAAATTAGAGGATTCTTTCTTTCTTTCTTTCTTTTTTTTTTTTTACAGCAATCATTACCGTAGTTATGAGGCATGGTTTGGAGGAAAAAAAGGGCCTTGAAGTGCCTGTTCTAATGTAACAGTATAGAGAGTGATGGCTTTTTCCTTTCATCACCCTTCACAACATGTTGCTTTTAATTTTTCTTGCTCTGTGTCTAATGTTTTTAACAGATCCTTTTTAAAACTGTGGTGTTTTGTACAAAACATGGGAAAACAAAAGTTGCTGTATAGCAAGAATGAACAAAAAGTTGACTGTCATGTGATTTTTGGTCACTCTGTAGAGACATTAGGTATTTTTGGAAGCAGGCAAGATGAAAAATTAGCCATGCCTTTGCTGTGAATCGAACCACAGACCTCTGGAATACTGGGCCCAGCTGGCAGAACCACTACACCACGGAGGCACGCTAGGAACTCGGGAGTAATAATTTATATACTCCCCCTTTTAAAGGGCGACTGGGGTTTTTAGGAGACCCAATCTCGCCAAATCCTGTGGAGAATCATTATCCACAACCCTTTTAGTTCGGACATCACTGTAGAGACATAAGGCTTATTTTTGGAAGCGGGCAAGATGAAGCGACCGCCTTCACCGGGACCTCTGGAATACAGACTCAGTGTGCTGACTGCTACACCACGAAGGCACACTAGGAAAGTGGGAGAAATACCTTATAACTTTCAGCTGACAGCAAACAATTTCAACATGCAAACCCAACTTAGTCATGACTCATCAATCATGGCTCCTTTAATATCATGGTTGACATTGACAATTTATCTTCCATGTCAGCCATTGAGAGAATAGGAAAGTGGCGTCGTACGTCACCTATCATCCACTTTCTGTCCATCACTCCATCTAGCTGGCTCCTAAGCACGCCCACTTTTAAACTTTGATGTAACAATATACGAGTTGGCATTTCTGTGTTCATTGTTTACTGTTACATATTCACCATATTGGTAAAATTGTTAGCATTTAGCATTTAGCATTTATAGAAAAAGTGCCAGTTTTTCTTAACACTGTTGCTGTGCAAAAATATAAGTACCTTCTTATGTTTTACATTAAATCCTCCACTTTGTTTTCTTTTACATTTTAGTACCCATTAAAATTAGTAACTTCTCTCCTGAAAAAAAAAAAAAAAAAAAAAATTCTTTTTGTGGGAAAAGAATGAGAACTTGATTACTCTTTTATAATGAAGAATGATAAATGCTGCTGCTTAATATACAGAGCCTAATGATACAGTTGCCATTACTTAAAAAAATAGTAATTTGGGGAATCTAGGAAGCATGTTTTTAGCTTTATGTAGCAACTATCAGATATCCTACAAAATATTAACTTGAGGAAAAACAAAATTAAGTATTTGAAAGCTCCAATTAAGAGCTCAGCAAAATGTTTATTTAAAGTAAGATATATTTTATCCCGCCCAAAAAGTAAACGATTTTCTGGTGGAGAATTTATAAAAGAAACTTTCTTGGAAATGTTTTTTGTTGTTTTAAGAACAAGTTTAATATTATTGCTGCACTAAAGATTTATAATTATCTTGAAATGCTGTGATGCAGTGGATTGATAAAATGTATAAAAATGTTTTTAAAAAAGTTATAATAACAATATTAATAGATGTCCTTGTTTCCCTTTTAATGAATTAACTAATTTTAATAGCACAGCGCCATTGCTTTTAAAGATTGTATACCTGAAGAAGAATTATTCTGTATAATTTCTTTAAAAGAAAGGACTAGAGATGTAAATATATTCAACTCCTATGAGAACTTTCCTTACTTATTTTAAATTGCTATGTTTGAAGTTGGTTCCAATAACAACAGATGGAGCAATGATAGGCTGTATAAATGAATTTATAACTCTTAATACCAAAATGATGATTAATTTCCAAATTTTTTTTTTATCAACTGCTTCATAATTCGCAAAGAAGTATTAGCCAATAAAAGATTAAATGCAAAAGAAATAATGGACTTAGTGTTCAAAATTTTTAATTCCATTTTAGAAAGTTTGCTTGAACAGCATCTCTTTCAATTGTAACATGATGAAGCACAGCAGAATTATTATTACATACTAATGTAAGGTGGCCAAGTTGAAACAAATTCCGGCAATGATTTTGTTATTTCTTAACTGAGATAAAAAAAAAAAAATTTTCAAAGAACCAAGATCAAGAATGCAAGTTTAAATGAGGAAACGTGGCTCACGTATTTAATGTTTTTAAAAAAATTTTATATCAAAATTAAATGATTTGAACTTAGAATTGTAAGGGGACAAACAAGCCAATAATGAAATAATAAGCAGCATTAATGCATTCAAACCAAAATTTATAATGCTGTTAGGATATTTTCAACAAAATGGTTTGAATCCCTTTAGAAATTGATCAGATGAGCTGCAAAAACATAAGAATGGCAATTATAACATTGAAAAATACTTTTCAGAAATTAAAAAGGTGATTGAAGATTAAGTCATTTTGTGATTTTAAAAAAGTTACTGTACAGTATCTGTTTTCTCCTTTTAAAAACCATTTAAACGTGAACACGTTAGAAACACATTAGAAAATGAAATTACAATTTTACAAGCTATTGTAACCTTATTAGCCAGAGAATTTGAGAAAAGATTTTTAAGAAATACCTCATTCAAGACGAGTATTCTAATATCTGCAAATTTAGTGAGCGTGTTTATTCTTGTTTTGGATCTGCGTTCTTATGTGACTTGAAAGTTTACTAAGATTTCATTCCATTCAGCATGGGAATGGGTATGTCATTCCCTTACATACCCATTCCCATGCTGAAAATTCATTATAATTTTCTGTGTCTCGTACACATCAAAGTATGAACACTTGGTTGGATATATGTGTATGCAAGACTTCCTGTTAATGATAAGTTAACAAAATAAAATTTAATGTGCATTTTTTTTCTGTGGCTACTTTTCAGTTACTATTATATATTAAAAGCATCAAATTGGTTTTATATTTCCTTTACCAGTGTTGTTTATTAATACACAAGCTACAAGCCTGAATGCATTAAATGTCAAGATTTTAGTAGGTAGATCACATGCATTTGTAAGAAAAAAATTTTATTTTAAATATGCAGCTCTAACATTTGCTATATTGCAGTGGTTCTCAACCTTTTGACTAACATGTACCATCTAAACAAAAATTGAAAACCTTTAGTACGGCCACTACAAAGTACTACTACCACCACCACTCTTGAACAAAGCTCAGATCTCATAAATTTACAAGTGTTAGAAAAAAGCCTCAATCAAGATGTTGGGGTTTTAATTTTTTAATTTAATAGTTAAAAATACTTTGATTCTTTGCATATCACCTATTTTTCTCTTGCGTACCATCGGTTGAGAACCCCTGCTATATTGTACTTTAGGGCTCCAGAAACATGGGGCACACAGGATATGTTACTTGTGCTGCTGCAGTAAGTAGACACTAGTTACATGTAAATGCCAGATCAGTAATTCAAATTGTAACAACTGCTACAAATTAGCTTTGCTAAACTTGTTTAATGTGGTAAGTAGCAAACTTCATGGAACAACTGTTGTTCTCAAGCCCTTTGTCATAATTCGGCAGTCTAATCCAGTCCATTCAAACCTGATAAGGTGCCGTAATAATTTTTTTCGCCATTTATCTAATGCCTAGTTGAATCCCACTCTGGTATTCTTTCAAAAACAATATTTTTCTTGTTTATTCTATATAATGCATTCAGAACCTACTATTGTTTATTCTGTACAAAGTATTCATTGTGCAGGACAGCAGTACCTGTTATTGTTTTATCTGTACAATGTATTGTGAATATGCATACAATGCATACAAAGTCTAAGCATTTCAGAAATGAACTATATTTTCATGCTCCCCTACTCTGGAAATCAAATGGTACCATACAGTTGTGTCCTGCATGCTAAGTAACATGAAGCAAGTGAATGCTAAAAATTATAATCTGCATGATTTGTTTTGGCCAGGTACAAAACTTGCTATTGTAGTGTTAACTAAGTTTGGTTAATATAGAACCATGAAATACGTCTTCGTACAGGATTCAAATGTATGTATAACAGTAAGCTATATTACGCAACAGTCAAAATAAATGCGTATATAAATATAACTACCTACGATATTTTATGCCAGCAGATAATTTTGTGTAGGGAATATTATGAAGATTATTTCTGTAAAAAAAATATTTGCCTTCAACAATCATTTTGTTTATAATAATTAATCTCATACTTTAAGCAAAATTTTCAATCGGGTATATTTGCTGAAAATATTTAACGAAAGAATTGCCATCTTTACGAATGATCTACTTTTAGTCAAGGTCACCGTTTGTCAGAACATTACATCAGTCAGATGTTTATATTTGTGTTGGGAAGGAAGGGAAAACAGGTGTTGCGTTGATGCAACATCAGCAGAAAACAGGTAGTCAATCTCCTTTTTCACCCATTCCTTTCGATGCCCTGGTTGTTTAAAAATGCCTAGAACGAGGTATCTTACATTAGAAGAAGCCCTTCAAAGATTTTTTGATGAAGAAACAGATGATGATAATGTTAACGATGACCAGAATGAAACTGATATTGTTGTTGTTCCCCCAGAAATTGCAGAGGCTAGTGATGAAGAAGAAAGGAATGGCAATGTTTTAAATAATGATAATGATATTTTACCAAATGATACTGCTAGGGAAGTTGAAATTCACATAAGAAGTAAGTTTCAGCATTCTAAAAGCAGTTATAGTCATACTAAAAAGTTTAAAAAGCAGAAGACTGAAATCTTGAAGTGGATAAAAACGGAACTGTTAGTTATGTCTCAGGAAGAACATGAAGAAAGAGATAGAAGAGAAATTATAAGAGACAAAACACAAGACAAGGTAAAACTAGTGCACAGATTTTCGATTTTCTTTTTGGTTTAGACATTTACTCTCTTCTCGTTGAACAGACAAATATATACGCTCAAAAAAAAAAAAAAAAAAAAAAAAAAAATTGCATTTGAAGCCTATATGAGAATATTTATTGGAATATTATTGCTTACAGGATATCATTCTTTACCTCAAAAAATGTATTGGTCTTTTGATAAGGACATTTCTGTTCCTGTTGTATGAGAATTGATATCACGTTTGCAGTACGGAAATATGAAGCAGAATTTGCATTTGACAATAGTCAAATTGACAATAATAATTATTATATGAGGTAAGACCGTATCTCTAAACTCACTAAATATCACCACTTTTTACTACTGGAAATATAAAGTCTCTTTCAGATTTCAGATGTGCGGGAATGCATTATTTCCTTTTGCAAACTTCCTACTGAGAGTGTAGGAATTAGCCAGAAATAGATCAAGCAACAGGAAGACCTAGTAAATTCAGCCTTACAAAAACCATTGCATGGAGATAGTAGACATTTTATTCGTAAAGTCCGTTGTATAACAAAAGACTTTGTTGTAAAGAGAACCATAGCCAGACTGCTTATAGATGCAAAGTATGTATGTAGCTTTACATCATGATTGTAATCAAGCTTTTTATGCTTGAATCTTTCAAATGGAATAATCTGTATTTGTAAAAGAAATACAATGTGTTTAATATTAAATTAATTACAAGTGATTTGTAGATTTATAAAACGTTATACAGCTAAAAAGTAATCCTGCACTCCTCTCAAAAGAAACATCACACGAGTACAATCCTACTCACTAAACATCCGTAGTCTTATTCCGCTGACGTAGGGCAAACGCAACACTCTCTTTTTCCACAGGTAAGAGCATTTTTTAAATTTTCAATGTAAATTTATGTTATAAATGCTTAATTTAATATTTGTTATTATTTTCATGAGAAAAGAAACATTCTTTGTAGTTTTGGCGGTTAATGGGTTAAGATACTATTTTGGATATCAGATTGCTGAATTTTATATTGCTTGTTTTTTTTATTTTACTTTTAATAATGAAATGTACTTAATGCCATAAAATTTATTTGCATTTTCTCATAGTATTGCATTTTTCTATTAAATTTTTTATCTGAAACTTTGTACTTGTAGTAATTATTAGCAGAGATTAATTATATATAGATGTTATAGACTTCTCATGTTTTTATTGTCTTTTAATTTACAGTAAGGAATCAATTTTAAAGCCTATTTTTGTTTTTGTGGCTGTGGAAGTATGTGCTCAAATTTTTCCTGGCTCTGTGGACTGTCTTGACATCACTCAGGCTTCAACAAGTTATGAAGTATCACAACCAGCAAAGAAACGAAGAGTTGAAGTTTGCTTTAGAGCACTTACTGATGATCTGACATCATCAAAAATTGAGCCATGGTAAATTTTTTAATCATAAATATGTTTGATACTAATGTTGAATAAAGTTGGTGCATGTGTTTAATTTCTTTTTTCATTTTATTATCCCTTGATTTGAAACTCTTGAATTAATAATTATGCTTCTTATTAGTACTGATTATGTATTTGATATCAATTTTATTATTATATTCTGTTTTATTTATTTATTTATTTATATTATTTTTTTAAGGCTTCAAGTTATATCTTCCTTTTTGGTAAATCATTCAGATATTGTGTCTATGCAAGACGCTGAGCATCTTTTAGATATTCTCATCGATATACATTTATCTTGCAATCAGTATGTATGAAAATGCTTTAAACATCTATGATTATTAAAATAAACTGTCAGTATAAAGTATTTGTGCAATAATGCTATGAATATTTTTAAACTGTTGCAATATGCTTCTCTGTAGGAATGTTTTTCTTTTCTCGTAAATCAGTAATTAAAAGATCAAAAAATTCAAAATTAAGTTTTTTACACCTGTAAATGTGTACAAAGATCTGCAATTTAGAAGTATTTAATAATTCCTGTATTTATGTGAAGCATATTATGTTTATTTATCTTTAAAGATTGGAAACAAAACGGTGGCTGCTTACATGCTGTCAGTCTTTTGTTCAAGCTTTTGGATCTAAAGATGCTGGTGATTGTTCCGAAGGTGGTTTTCAGTGGCAGCGTTTGTGGGAATTAGCTGTAAAGTAAGCCTTTCTGATTATTAACATTTATTTACCTCAACCTCAATTTTTTTCTGTTAAAACCATACCATTTGTCATTTGGGGGGGGGCATATTTCCTCGCTGCAAGACGTTGCAAGTTTGACTTGGCTGCTTTTCTGGATGGATTCTTCTTTACTGTTATGAATTTCATGACTTGAGATTTACCAAGAGGTAAAGAAGTAGCTGTTCTGTTTTTCCAAAGAAGAGATGTGCTTTAAAAGAAAGATCATGTTCAAAATATGTTCATGAAAATAAAATGTGACTTGTAGCTTTCCCTCATACTGGAAAGAAATGTTTGAACATAAATATGGTTATCTGGTCCTTGGGTGTTAAGGGTTAACATTATTAAATTCTATGAACCAAAGTTTGTTTCAAATGAATCACAACAATAGTTGATTGCAGTGATTACGTAAGAGAAGTCTATGCCAGTTCTTTGTTATTTTATTTAATATTAAAATCGATGGATGGAACAAAATTGTGAAAATTTCTTAACTTAATTCACAAAAAAAAAAAAAAAAAAAAAAAAAAAAAAAAAACTAACACAGGTCTTATTCTGCCCAGATTGATCCATTTCATCTGGAATTGAGCGAAAGACATGGGAGGAAAAATAAGCCAAAATATGCCAATATTGCACTGAACATTCATGGTGTGACTTTAATGGAAAAGTACCAAAAATGTTATGTTAAATCTGTCAAAGAAACAAAATATTACTTGATTCTTTTAAATCTATTATTGTCATTTGAATTCTCAAAGAATTGCAGTTTAAATCATAATCGTTATAATAAATTTAATGATACTTATATAATACATTTCATCAAGCTCTCAGAATTTCTAAATTTTAATGCAAATATATTTTATGTGCGTAAGAATCAAAATTATGTACAGAAATACTCTTTTCATATATTCTTTGTATTGTTTCAACATAGTAAAGTATTATGAATTGTCTTTCAATATGTACTTCTATTTCATACATATTTTTCTTCTAAATTTCAAAATTTCTTTGAAGTTAGTTACTTATTCTGAGATCTAATGCATAATGTATTGTCAAATTTTTAAATTTACCTAAATGTGCATGAAATGTATCACTGTTAATATTTTTTATATTGATCTTACATTATACTTTATCATAATATGCATAAAAATGTTATATTAAGAGAAATATTGTTATTATGTTTTAATAATCTGATTATTTCAAGGTATATTATATATTTGATTGAAAAATAGAATAAATGTATACATCTATTTTTAGATCTGTTGCTCTTATGCATCAGTGCCAAGAAGCTGGACATAAGCTGTTAACAGCACTACTGTTCTATAAACTGGCTGTACCTAAGGCTGAGTTTTACACTCTCTATGCTCCAGGTAAAAGATAACTATGTAGCATTGTTTATATTTTAAACTATAGTATGAATCTTACTGAAGAGATAGAAAATTCTGTAATAAATTTAAAGTCTTATGTTTAAAACTTCACTCTGTAACATTCTGATCATATCAAATAACTTCCAGATTTTTGGTAAATTATGAATTCCTTGTATTACCTATAGAAATAGTAGGCTTTTGATATTTTATAACAATATTTGAAAGTAACCATTAACTGTGATTGCATTACACATTTGCTGCTGATCACGCACAGGGGTGTACTGAAGAGGCAATCATGCTCGTGGAATGGAGTGATGTCTCAGGTGCCAGTCATATGCCGGCACGGAATAAGTAACGTGCCATTGTTTATTTTCAAGATTAGTGGGCATTGTGTTTTGGACATATATGCTGGTATTGGCGTAGTGTGATGGTTAAAAACTAGTTGTAAATGTATGTGGTTTGGAATGGAAACAATGTTTCATTTTGCGCAAAGACTATAAACGAATAACATTCTGACATATATTGTTTGCATTAATATAATTGTACTAGCTTGTAACAAATTCATTTGCAATATATATATTTGTTTGTTATATAGTTTCATACCAAAATAATGCATATTGTTGCTCATTTTGATTCACTTTTAAATGCCATGTGCCAGCATGTAATGCAGCACTGCAGAAGTAATATTACCTCTAGTGCTGATCACACGTTGGCATGTAGTAAAAAAATTCTATGCTTACAGGCTTAGTAATTAGTGTGGTACACATAATGAACTGTTATTACCTCTTTTAAATCATATTTCTTATAATAAGCTGGCATATGGGTGCAATCTATTTCTATGACACAACATTAACTATCAATACAACCTCACATGACCAGCAGCAAATGTGTTAAGCGTTGATTATTATGTATAGTTTGTATCTGTCTTTGTGTAAATGAAAGTATAAGATGAAATTTAATAAGTTACTGTAAAGGCTTTTATTGTGATTCGTGGTGGTTGGGGGTCAAAGCCTCCCCCTCAAAAAAGAACAAAAATACTAAGCTATCATGTTCCATGGCTGTTTTTGACTGCAAATTAATGGAGTTTATTATCTACTAATTTTATTTAAAATGAAAAATATATTACGTTCTTTCTCAGCAGAACAAATAATTTTAGGGGTAAATGAAGGATTGTCTGCCATTAAAATCCCTCAGATGCACAAACTGATTAACTGATAGTTACACCAGAGTATTATTCTAATAGTTGCTCAAATTCTGTTTTAATTTTGATTATATTAATTACAGAAAAAATCAGTTAACACCACAAATATAAAAGTGTTTAGATTTTTTCCATTTTTAGAGAACATGCTCAAAGCAATTTACTGTAGAGACAGACATATGCAGCAAATTTATACTTCTAATGATGTAATGAACTTTTTGTCATTTGTTAATTTGTCATTAGAATGAGGTATAAGTTTTCCAAACCTGAGAAATATACCTGTTATGTTAGTTATTAAATTTTCGAAGATGGAAGCATGAGAGATCCATAACACCTTCACTGGGATTTGAACTCAGGAATTTCTGATGAACTATGTTTTTCTATTACACCACAGAGGCATATGGTGAGAAGGGAAATTCTTACATTCTTCCTCACTTAAATATATATCTTACATTCTTCCTCACTTAAATGGCAACTGAGAAGGAGGGGACCCATTCACCAAAGACTGGCCATGGCGAATTCTCGTCTACCACTTTTACTTCAGGTGTCATTGTAGAGTCATATTTCAGAGCAGATGTGAAAATGTGCAATGCCCTAACCAGGATACTAAGTCTGGACCTCCTGATTGCTAGCCAGACATGCTTCGAGTTACGTCCTGAAGGCACATGTTAAGGAGGAAGAAAATGCCATACAATTTCAAAAAACAAAGAATGAAAGCTACAAAAACCTTTTTCAGATTATACTTACTTTGAAAATGAGAACACTATTATAAGAGAGATGAACAATGCATTGAATGTAACAGTAATTACTGCACACTTTGGCATATGTCTGTCTATAGAAAACTGTTTGGCACTTTCTATTTTATAATAGAAATCATCCAATTTTTTTATATACATATAGCAAATCTTATGCACAAATAGTTACATAAAAATATTTAGATATCTTTATTAATTGCCAATTGTTTGATGTAATTTAAAAAAATTAATAGTACTTTTCAGTGCAATTTTATGACTTATGTTTTATGAATTAATTTTATGAATTATGTTTCTCTAGTTTGTAGAATATTTGAAAGTTTTATTCTTGTGCTTTTTATTTCTTAAAGTTAAAAATCATGAAATGCTTAAACATTTAGTTTGTAATTTTATTGGTTTAACATGATAGGTAATAATTTATTGATTTTACATAACAGAAGATAATTATTTTACATCAGCGGTAATTTAATCCATATATGCAATCAATATTGCAAATCATGTACAGCCATCACGTACATGAGCAAACATTTTTCTTTTTTGTTACAGGTTCCAGTAATCCAGTAACGAGTGCATCTTTGAGATCACTGAAAACATTTTTAGAAAAATATCCTGCTTCATATACTGCACATTCCATGTATTATAACAACAGTGTTTCTTCGATGGGAAATGGAACTTTTGAAAATCAAATTATGGAGTGGTTATTTTCAAGGAAAAATGATGACAATTCTCCTTTCCAAGTTCTTTCTAATGATGATATGCCAACTTTGGAAGCATTTGCAGAAGTTGCAGCATTACTTTGCTTGAGGAATAATGGAAGTCATTGCAGTTTAGAAGTTTCTAGTGAAAAATTGGGTAACTATGAAATTTTAGAATGTATATTTATTGTCTCTTTATTTTTCTTGGGGGTGATTAATTATAGTGTCTGTTTTCAGCTTAAAGTTATTGAGATTTAGGTATATATCAGTATTATGACACAAAATCAGTATTTTAGTGACATAGCGTTTAGATTTTTTCATGTCCAATACTTAATATTGTAATGAAATGCACAGCCGTGGTAAGATAGCTTCCCTGCAAAGCAGGTTTAGGGTTGCCAGAAAATTGCAAGGGTTGCCATATTTGGCTGGAAATAGCTCATTTGGCGACAAAAATGGCAATATGTCATAGACGGAGAACATTCTGGAACAAATTCTTAACTGGCTTGGCCGAGAATGTTCTCTAAGGTAAGCTATATGCAAAAGCTATATAAACCCTGCCTGTACACAGAGTAGCAGTGCATCAAGAGTGCATCATTGATTGTATAGTTGAGTGCATCGCGAGTTGTAGCGTGGAGACTCTCGAGAATAAGTTGAGTTCCAATAATGACCGAACCGAGTTGGGAGCTATACTCTAGTGCTTTGCCATGAAACCATCTTCACAATCGTAGCCTGATAGCCTGAAGACTGTGTTGCTAATTGTTTCAGCATGTTTATTGTAGTTTTTCAGTATGTTTTTGGAGCTGTCCTGAGTAATACTGGGTAATAAATTGTGTTTTCATTCTTCATCAGGTGTTGTCATCAATCACTCCAAATACACCAAACTGTAAAATGTAACAATATAAAAGAATTTTTGTGATTTTAGTTAGAACTATTTTAATTGTGATGGGTATTTTATTTTATGTTCACTGCAAAATGGATTTTTAACTATGTAACATTAATTTTAACATTCAAAATATCTTAAATGTAAATCTCATTAATACTAGGTATTGTAACCTCTATAGCAGTGAATTAAGTATGAATGGATAGTTAAAAAGCTGGAATAAACTGTTTATATGCATAGTTACAAATATATATATATATAGTGAACTTTTTATTATTATTTTATTTTATTTTAAGAAACTTTTTATTATTGTTATTTCATTTTAGAAAAAATTCAGTGGATCCAGTTAATGGAGGAGGAATTATTGCTCATAACATTTGACATGCCATTTAACCATAATATGTCTAATCAAGGGACCACTAGTTTTAATTCATCACCTGGACAGTTACTTCAGCCAGTATGGGATAAAATTTTGAATCGTTTCATTAGTGCTACTGAAGGCATATTTGAAGAGCAAATCTCTAATTTTCAGGTATAAAATTTAGTTTTTCAGGTATAAAATTTCAGGTATAAAATTTAGTTTAAATATTTTGTTTTCTTTTATTTGTGGATGCATTTAAGTGATATAAGCTGTTATATCTCATTTGTGTGAGTTTTTAAATTAGTACGTAATAGGTTTCTTCTAATTTTAAATTTATTGAACCACCAGTAGATATGGTGTAAAATAATAAATAGTCATAGCTGCCAACTTTCCTGGTTTTACCAGGAGATCCACTATTTTCATCACATATCTCGTTCTCGTGGTAGATCACTAAGTTCCTAGTTCAATGTTTAATCAGTTAATATTTAATTTTTTTACATCCATGTATGATTACATCCATGTACATTTCTGAGTTTGTCCTCATAATAGTGTGTGTATTAATTATTAATTCTATATTCACCATGTTTAAAAATACTTGATTAAAGCTTTAATTTCCTACTCATTTTTCAGCATCAAAATGTAAGAAAATTTCGAAATGAAATCAGCCAAAGAATAAAATTTAGAATATCTATAGAGACCAATAGGGTTTTTTTTTTTTTTTTTTTTTTTTTCCAAAGCAAAAGACTAAAAATTATGCACTGCCCTCTCCAACATTCAAACTCTGAACTTTCTGATGTTAGCCGGACATGCTTTTCAGTTACACCATGAAGGCATGTGCTACGGAGGGTGCAAATTTCTAACATTCTTATTCCTCCTCAACCACCTATTGAAAAGGTGATTGGGGAAGAAAGGGGCTCCATTCTCCAAATCCTGCTAGGAATATATTTTTGTATATCACACTTTAGTTTGGGTACCGTAATAAGGTCGCTGAATTTTTTCCATAGCGGGAGACGTAAAAAATGTGCAATACTTGTTCCTGGACTTGAACTTTGGATGTTCCGATGCTAGCCGTCCTGCTTTCCAATTACATGCTGTGGTGTAATTCCAATTCTGTGGTATAATTGGAAAGCTAGACATGCTTTCAATTACACCACAGAGGTATGCAATAATGAGGAAGAAAAACTTACTTATCTAATTCAATATTAATAAATTTTATTACAAATTATAGAAGAAATTGTTGAATGACCTGATTTATACACATGCCTACAATTATATTAAAAATTATTGAACAACCTGAATTACGAAGTATGAAGTGAATTTAATTAAGTTGGGAGTTCTTTTAAAATTGTACTCCTACACAGCACAAGAACCTCCCAGAGACTACAGATTTTGGGGTAGAATCTCCCAGTTTTTCATATTTCAAGTTTGGCAGCTATGGTTATTTGAAAATTAGGGGAAAATGTATTATAAATAAAAAAAAATATTGTCTAATGCACAAATATGAACCATTTAAAATATTAACAAAAGCATCTCTGTAACTTGGCATGGTTACTCAATAAACTAGATAACTTACATAAATACAAAGCACTGTTGAAGTGGTATAATCTTGCAGTTGGCTTAAACTATTTATCCTCAATAAGCATCTTGTGATGAATTTGATGTGAAATTTTCATAAGTTGCCTTTGTGTAGGGAGTCAGTCACTTTTTTTTTTTTTTTTTTTTTTTTTTAGATATGTTTTCCTTTAGCTTTTGGTTGAACTGGTGGCAAGAGCAACTGAACTAAAATTCAAGGCCACTGGAAATTTCCTAGATGGTATGGTAGCTAATAGAGAGTACTTGTCAGTCTGGGTGCATGATTTGAATCATGGGCAAAACAATGATATTTATGATTGTAGTTTCATTGCCAAGTGGATATACTTAAAATATCTTTGATATTAAAATCTCAAGAGAGGTATGTGGTAGGAAAAGAAGGATAAGAGATTTTAAATTTCCATTTCTTGGGATTCTGTGTTTCATAATTAACATGGGGCCTTTGGCACATAATTCTTGTTACTTTTCCTTTGTTAATAATCCTACCTAGTAGGAGGCTGCTGAACCAGTATGCTGTTCTTCATTTATTTCATTTAGGTTGGAGGAGATCTGGCAAGAAAGTTATTAATATTTGAGATAAGACAGTTTGAAATGGCCTGGTTTGTTGCTTGAATTGGAATAATAATTGCCTTAACTTTTCTTTTATTCTAATTCAATATTTTAATAGCTGTGGCAAGTATAAGTATTAAATTCCAAAATTATACTTTTTTTGTTTTTGAAAGTATTGATCCAATAACATTCATCCTCATAAATCTTTCTTAATGAATAAATATAAAATTTATCACAATCTGTTGTATGTAGATTGCTCATTTTGATGATAAAGCCGATTTTAGTTAACGTGCTTTAGAAACTGTATAAATTTGATTTGCATCCTTAAAAGAACTGTGTTTAAAACTGTAAAATCTTGATTGTGACTTAGCATGGTTTATCGTGGCCAAGCCTGTATTTCTGTCGTTAGGTATTAAATATCTTTTTAGAAAATTTTCAATGATGAATTTTTGTTTGTATGCTTTGAGTATTAATACTATTATATTCTCGTCCTCCGTTACCAACCAACCAACCAACCAATACTATTATATTAATATAATAGAATTATATCATTATTTCATTATTATATCATGAATGTAATAGAATTAACTGTTATATCATCTTTTATTGCATTATGTCGTTGTGAACTTACTATGTAAATTTTTGTAATATTCATTAGAAAACTTTTATGCATGGTTTTGTATTTTTATTTAGCTTTTGAGTAGATATTTCTAAATAACTGGAAAAAAAAAAACCAAAATTAAACTAATGGAATAGATATTGATATAAAATTTACAAAATATATATTTTATTTTTTAAATAATATATTCATTATTTAGAATCCCATCCTTACCTTTAACATTTTGTTCTAGTATTGTTGATTATTAAATGTAAAACTTTCTCAAAATCTTTTTCCTTTCTCTCTAGAATGCATCATTATCAACTTTTTTAAGATATGCATGTCTACTGTTTGAAATGTTACAAACATTTTATTTTCAAGGAATTATCAAAGAAGAACATTTGCAATCAAATCATTTCACATCATATTTGAAAGTGAGTTAATTATATTCATTAAGTCATATTATATACAAGTATAATTTAGATATGTAAAATTTTTAATTCATTGCTGCCAACTCTCCAAGTTTTTCAGCACACCTTTAGGTATATCACCAAATTCTTCAGACTTTTAATTTTTATCCTTAAACTGAGGAAAACTGAGGAAACTGAGGAAAATGTTTTCCAGCAATTAATGAATTATTGAATTAATGAAATTATTCATTAATTATTGAATTAATTAATTATTGAATTAATGAAACTTGTGGAAATTTGGTCCCCTCATTCCTACTGATTTTAGCATATTTTTTATTATGAAATTTCATTTGATCTGAATTGTCTTAAGCCTCTGAACGTCATGACTGACTTGAGAGTCCACTGCTAAGTTTATCCATGAAGTCATATGTATATTGTTATTCATTTTGTTTTTATCATATTTAAGAGTTTAATAAAAAGAAGTTTACTTCCCTGCTCAGGGTTTTTTAAATATAAAAGTGTAAGAAAATTACAAAATGGAATAACTCAGAATATCTAGTTAAATATAATATAGTTTTCATCAGAATCACATTACAAATAGTTCAATAGCCTAAATTATGTATGTGAAGTGGGAGTTCTTTTGAAATGGCATTACTGTGCAGTGCAAAAATCTCCTACAGTCTGCTGGTTTTGTGTGAGAACCTCTTGGTTTTTCTTATTTCAAAGGTGGAAACTATGTTTATTATTTTTTCTGCTATTAATTAAAATATAGGAATTACTTTATGAAATATTTGGATACATTTTATGAGAAATATAATTTATTTTATGATATAGGATAAAACAGAATTATTTTAGGAGCTTGATATTCTAATTAAACTTTGACTTATAGGCATATAATTTTTAAAATTTTTTATGACAAAATTGTTTATGAATAGCAAATGCATTATTTATCTTAGATGGAGAGGCATATGATTTTTAAAATTTTTTATGACAAAATTGGTTATGAATAGCAAATGCTTTATTTATCTTAGATGGAGCTTTGTATTGTTACATAATTAGAATGTTTTGCATTAATGTTTTCAATAAAAAATTATGTTTCCATGTAAATTAAAATTATCTTAATTTTTTAATGTAATGAAAAATATTGTGAAGCTTTCATGTCATTGAAAAGTGTACTAAAGTATTAATATTATATTAATATTGTATGTTTTTTTCTGGTGAAATTCGTCATTCACTCTTACCTTAACAGCAGTAAATACCCAATAATGAGTACTTGCTGCATTTAAGAAGATGATAATCTGCTCTTTGGTACTGATAGATGCTGCTGCTATTGATGTATATAGAATAAGTGCTATATGATAGATTATAAACAACCAGTGCTGCTGTTTGTTGAGAAAAATATTAATTAGCTGTATTATATCTTATAAAACAGTACAGATGGGGGTCTAAGTCGTGTTCATCTTCAGCAACAGCATAAAATGTAATAATTATAAAGTTATTGCTTTTTTAATGCTACAGCCTTTTACAGAATTTGATCAAAATAATTATACTGCCTAATGATCAGTATCACCTAATGATCTCTTTTCTTGGATAATTGCCTTTGATTATTGATCTTAATAATCTTAAAATTTTTTTCCTGCTAACTTAACTAAAAGCTGGCATTCTTCAATCACAGCAAATAAGAAATATTTATCATAATAGCAGAAAAGTGTTGGTGTTAAATGAAAGTACATTTTTGTGTACCAGCATTTCACAATGAATTTTATTTTTGCAGTTTTTAAGAAAAGAGAGAATGCATGAATGAATGTAACAGCATATTCTTAAATATGCTGTTATGTTCAGTAAAATAATTAATTCTGATTTAAATTGTAAATGGAATTTATGTGGTACTTTTGTACTCTCTTTTCTTTAATATAATTGTACGCACCTGTTTAGAAGCAAATAATTTATATTTACACTAAAAACCACACTAATAAAAATTCCGCAAAGGAATGGTCAAATAATTTGTTTGGAACACATTGCTGATTTTGAACTTCTAATTTGATTTAATTTCATTAAATGGAAAAATGTTTATGTTTGAAGAAAGTGATATCATTCATGTTCAAGGGTTCCACTTGCCTAAAATATCCTAGAAAGTCAGGAAAGGGAAAAGTGGTCAGAGAAAGTGGGGAAAATATAAGCTTTTTTAAGACATGTTAGGGAAAATTTGGGATTTTCTTTTTAAGATATAGAGCAGTTATTTCAAGTATAAGAAGGTCATGTTTTAAATAGTAAAGAATACATAAAAATTATCTTTTTTAAAGAGAAGCATGTAAAGAGTTACTGTAATCTTTATTTTTATTGCAGAAAGTATTTTAGCGATCTCATTATGAACTTATTAGCCTTCTTAACCTATTAGTGAGGTATTTGTCACTTTTCACTTTATAACTGTTCTTTTATCCTTCTGTTTAGAAGGTGCAGTTGCCCATCAGAAATAAATAGCATAGTTAAAAAGTTGTTATACTGTGCTGACTGCATATTTTAGTACATTATTTTAATTGAACATCCCCCCACACAATTTAATTTCAATTCCTCGCTTTTATTTTGAAATAACAAAAGAGTAATATTTATTATAAATGATGTATTGGTATAAATTCTTTTGCAGAATGAACAGTTTATCTCCGAATCTGAAAATTTTTAAATTACTTTTTTTGAATGGTTCAGATGCATATTTCCTATGTAAAATTCTTTCATTTGCTTTATAATAACAAGGATAAATTAAATTTAAATGATGATTTATGAGATGAAGTAAATTTTTGTAATGTTTATATTTATTGCAATGTATTTTGTAGTAAATGCATTAAATTATTCAACTACTCATATTATTTGAGAATTATTTTGTTATGTTTGGTTGGAGAAACTGTTTTATTTCGTCATGGGAAAACTGGGACAGTCTGGGAATTTAAAATTATAATTTCAGAGAGAACCTAGCATATTCTTAAATTAAATTTGTTAAGTTTTTTACTTACTGTTATATTTTGTTAGTTTTTAACTGAAATTTTATATTAATAACTTTTTATTAAGTGTATAATTGTTACAGTGAAACACCGAAATCTGGAGAATGTCGACTTTCACCGGTGAATGTCAACATTCACATAGTCGCTTGGTGTATGTCCGAAATATTTTCCAAATACTCTTATTTCTGACTTACACTGGTGAATGTCGACATTCACCATGTACTAATGGTGAATGTTGAACATATAAGAATATTATGTTTCCTTCTCCGTAATTCATTTAACGAAAAAACACACTTGAGACTCAGAATAGAACTTAAGAATATAAGAACTTAAAACACACATTACATTCAAAATGAGAAAGGAAAATAATAGAAGTTATAAACTTACCAAATTATGTGATTCAAATTTATTTATTGCAACAACTTAAACTATTATGACACTTTGAATTGCACAAAAGGCCCTTGCTTTTACAACTGCATTTATTTGTGGAACACTTCCTTTGGAATAGCAGCGTGTACATATACTCCTATCTTTTCGACCTACACCAGAGCATATCTGTGATTGTCGACGTACACCGGTGAGGGTCCGAATGTAGAAGAATGTAAAGAAATATTCGATCTTTCACCGATGTATTTGGTGAATGTTGACATTCTCCGGTGAAAGTCGACATTCTCCAATTTCAGTCTTTCACGATAACATAATCATTACTAAAATTTGTGTAGTAAATTTTTAGTTAGCACGGGAAATATTATGACTTTAAGAAATAAAATGAATTCTTTTTTCAGCTAGTCTCAACTGGGGAGAAATTTTGTGGTTTCAGGGGGCAATGCAGAGAGCCTTTTATTTAGCTGTTAACTATTTAGTTTTAGTTTGTGAACATATAAAAACTAGTTTATTCAGGTTTTGGTATTTAACAACATTTTTTGTACTTTTTATTGTTTAATTTATAAAAATATACTGGAAAGGAAGGGGGTATCTTTTAGCAGTGGTGAAAAAGATGCAAGGTGCAAAAAAGTTTGAGAACCACTGCTGTAATTAAAATGTAGTAAAACCTTTCACCTCTTCTTTTCATTAAGGTTAATTTCATTTTTTTTATTTTCAGAAATCTTTACATGCTTTTATTGAGATATCAAAAAAGCGGGAGAATAATTTACTGTCTGATGAAACAAATCAAATCAAAGGCCTTTTACAGCACATTTTAATGGTATTTAAGCAACATTGTCAACAGACTGTTCCTGTTCAGTACCCAAACAATTTTATTGTAACAGTTGCAAATTCTGTTCCTGTTGAAATGCTGACTTACCTTTTATCATACAGTTTGGAAAATGTGAATCACAATGTAAGTAGGAAGTTTTATCAATTATTAATATCAATAAAAACTTGGTACATAAAAATGAATTTTTAAACAGATATTGATATATTGATTTTCTTTAAAATAGACTTCTACATTAGATGTATCCAATGACTTTTCTGAGCCAGAGGGCAATCTCAATCATTCCTTGAGAAAAAACAAATATGCGTTTGCAGAAGATGATCTTGAAGATGAAGTTGACAGTTTTGTTCCAAGAATGGAAAATAAAGGTATTTGGAAATAGAGTGTTGTTTTTTCTTTCAATATATTTTTTACATTATAGAATTAAGATAGATAATATTATTTTGTAGGATATGAAAAGTAACTTAATCAGTATGAGTAAATCAATTTTTATTTTTTATCTAAATCAAGTGTAAAAGGGGTTGGAATAATGCTCATAATTTGTCGGAAAATCTACAACAGAGTTTGTATTCATATGGAGAGTTTTTGACAGTCTCTGCTTTTTAGCGATTTCATCTTTACCAAGAATTCAGAAAGTATTTGAAAAAAGAATTTAATTAGTTTCATATATGTAAAATCTTTTTATCTCCAGTGCGCAGAACTGTGTTTTGGAAATTCTAAAGATATGCTCATTTTAAAATTATTTTGCTACATTATATTGAACTGAATTTTATTGTTTAAGTGCAAAGAACATGATATCTAATAAATAAAGGTAATACACAAAACATTAAAAAAACTCCCCTTTAGATATAATTTAAAATCTGAAACCTTTCAGATTTTTTTGTATTACCTAATATTATTTATTGTATTTTGGGTTAACTTATGAACTTATGAAACTTCAAAATTTTGTTTTAAGAGTTTAAATTTTGTTTTCAATCATGAAATAATATAGTGTGTCAAATAGGTTTCCCAGCTAGTGTAGCTAGTGAACTACTATACTGATGGACTCAGGTTGAAATATCAGAGAAGGCATGAATGTTTAGGGTATAGAGAGTATATACTATCTGTGCAGAAAGAAGGCACTCAAAATACATGATGAGCGAAAAGTCTACTTGAGAGGTTGTTGTAGAGGAATAAGTGTCTGAGACCATCATATTGCCATTTATGATGTTCTCCCTCAAAATTGGGGCAAAAATTTAACAGTTAACAAGCCTTAGTTATATCTAGTATATACTCAAGAGAATGCACAGATGCCAGCCTTGAGCCTGTACCTGTGTCTCAAGTTGAGAAATTAACAATTTTTACATGACATCTTTATTGCTATTTCAACCATCATTTAATTTTTTCCCCCTGATTAACTTTATACATAGTGGCTGAATGGCTAAAGTTAAAGCATTACTACATAGTGGTACTCTTTATTTCATTTCCACTCACTAAATAACTAAAAGAAATGTAACCATTTTTATAATCTAAGAATTTTATTTCCATAGTTAATGAAAGTATTGATATGCAGAACAAACTTTTCTGTCTCATCTAAAATATCTGCTTAACAATTTAAACAATATTTATTTACCTATTTATTCCATAATTTTTTATGAAATTAAAATTTCATGTTGGTGAGAGTAATACATTCTTTATTCTAATACATGTTATATTGCTATAGTATTCCAAATTAAAAAATGCATAATCTTTGTTTATGCACTTTATGTCATATATATTAAATGTCGTTTCCTACTTTGACTAGTTATGAAAATCTGCCTTTATTTTCCAGAGTCTGTACAATTGATGGATGTGAAAGGCTTGCCAAATAATGTCCAACAGCAGTTGGAATGTTTGGAAATTCTTGGAGAATTCAGCAGCTTAATTGATAGTGATACATATTTTGATGAGCTTGCAAGTTTTCCTCAAAATATGATTCAACAGATGTTATCCTTTATATCTAGAAATGATCAAGGATTCAGAAGGGTAGCTGATGTGCATTTGGTAATTTAACAGTTATATTTCATTTGAAGTTAATCAGATAGAATATAATAATATGACACATTACCTTTTTTTTTTTGTATTATATTATAACTGAATTTGAGTGAAAATCAGGAGATTTATCAATCTTCAAACTAAGAAATATTTTTGTTATTACTTAAGTACATGTATTTTAAAACCATTTGAAATGAAATAAGATAAGAACATTTGATATGTCTGAAATCCAAACAATATAATTAAGTTTTATATCATGTGATCAAGACAAAAATGATATAACTTATTTAATGAGGAAAAGAATTTCTGATTAAATTTTTGCTGAAATAAAGAGCATTTCAGCTCTTTCCTTTTATAAAGTTTTGATTTTTTATTAATTAAATTCATGAAGAAATTCTTATAGAATATTCCAGAATTCCACCATTTAGAAAAATGTGTTGTAGTATATAAGTATATTAATTATACTTGTATGTATTTATAGCAAATGTGTCATAATGATATTTGACAGATTTATGTTATTAACAAGGGACATTTTGATGTTTTTTTACAATCAAGTTTTGTCATATTTTTTCACAAGAAAGCTTTATTACCAATAGAATGATTCAATGCCATAACCAAATACCAACTTTTTGGCTATTTTTTCACATAGTCACCATTTTGTCATACTGTGAAATGAATTTCATAAAACTATCTTGGTAAAAATTGGTGCCCAGCAATCTAAAGAAGTTCTTCACATCCTGCTGTACCTCTCTCTTCATTACTTCAGAAATGACCTTCTGATAGTGCTGACTTAGTACAAAAAAAGATGGAAATGTGATGGGTTAAGATCAGGCTGTAGGCCAGACAGTCTCTCCTATACAAAGCAATAAATATGTATCATTCAGGAAACAACTTTCAGGAAGACAGAGGAGAGACAAACAATCATGAAATAATGGTCTTATTGAAGGAAATTGTAGGCTACAAAGAAATTACTGATGTGGTGATATTGGAGAATAGAGTAGATGTGGCAGGCTAAAAACCGAGAACTTTTAGGAGCTGGTGAAATAGTTATAGTAGTGAAAGAGACTGAGGATAAAAATAAAGGTAAATCAGAAGATGGAAAGCTGGAAGACGAGAAAAAAGTTAAAAGATAACACAGTGAAAGATAAAGAATGTGCTCTGTGTTGTGCTAGAGACTTTCATTAGAGTAGTATGCAGTAAAATATTATGAGTTGTGAATAACCTACCCCTTATATCATAAAACTCAACATTTTCAGTAATTCATCACCATCTCAGACTTCATCGGGTTTAGTTTGTGCGACTCTTCTGTATCGACTGAGTTGATAAAGTTATTGAACATTTTTTGTTCATTCTCAGTTTAGTTTCTAAAGACAGAAAAAGTTTGTTATATAAGAATTTTATTTTTTTCCCCATTTAAATGTGATTAAAGCCTTTAGAAAGTCCTATCTAAAGATCAGCCCTTACGCACGCATGATTTACAGTATTAGATAACTTAATTATTTATATTCTTAGCATTGTTAGTATCCCTTTCATTACTAGTAGAACATATGTATCCTATCTAGTTGCGTAGTTCGTAGTAAAAAAGTTAAGGATGCCAGCCTGTATGTGCTTTGATGTAATAAATATTCCTTCTTAATCTTTTAAGTAAAGATGTTTTAAAAATAACAGTAAAGGTGTATTCCTGAATATAAATTACTTAAATCTTGAAAGTTCATCTTAATAAACTTCAGAATTTTTACATGGTTCTCTGTTTCATCAGAGCTTTTCTTTGACAGATACGCTAACACATAATGAATAGGCAAAGGAATCTTAATTTTAGGCCATGAAATTATATATATATATCTGTCGCAAAGTTGTTAGTCTCTCTTCTCCCCTATTTTGTGCTTCTTTTAATTACTTTTCTATTTTAAAAGCTGTGCAGTACAAATTGTTATTTCTTTGAATGATATGTTATGTTCAGCATAGTTAATTTCACCATAATGTTTGTTATTATACTATTCGTTAAAACATAATAAGAATGTCTAAAGATTCATAAAATTTCTAAATTTAAATAATATGAAAACTTGCCTAGTATGCATTTCATTTAGACCTGCCAGCGACCGAGCAGTAAAGTCTCTGAACACTGGTAGTTTGGTTTGAGGTCCGAATCCCGTGAATTGACTGGTAGAAAGTCCTCCACAGAGGCATCTGTCTCTTCCGTGTAGTGTCTTAGGGTAGAACATGTAAATAATGATACTAATACATTGTCTTTATTGCTATTTCACGCCTACATACGCACATGCAGAAAGCAGAAGAGGGAAAAACAAAAGAAAAAATGCCAGGCTGTAAATGTTGGTTGCATATTCTTATATACATATGTTCTTATATCCGTAAAGTATTCATCTGATACAAAACTTATACAAGGGGGGTGATAACAGACATAAAAAAAAATTGACTGTACTCATTTATTAATGCAAAAAGTTTTTCCTTATACTGTTGCAAACAATTTTAGTACCTAAAATATGCAGATTAAAAGTAATGATTTGGAATGGAATTTTTTTTTATGTCATTGTACTAAAGTACCTATAACTGTCATATTGTAGATATTCTGTATTGGAATTTAACAAAAATCTTCCTATTGTATGGTATAGAACTGCCTGTGTTGTGAGCACAGTGTTCGAGAAGGTATTAGAAAACATTGAAAGAAAAATTAAATGACTTCATATTTTACTAATAAAAAAAATATGCATGGAAATTTTCTTAAATCGCCATCTTAAAAACCTTTTTTTTTAATGTGTTCTTAAATTTACATGAATTGCATGGTTAACTGGTTTTGAATAGCTCTTTCATTCTATTTATTCACCCAGTGAATAGATTAGATATATTTCTTATTTTCATGTAGTGTAAGTCATGTGTGATCTTGATGCACATTAACTCATTGTCAAAATTTGTATGCATACTTTGCCATTTGTTAAAAATATTAAAAGGAACTTTTTCAGATGTTTATTGTTTTTAGTTCATGGATTCGTGGCATTGCCAAAACTGAAAATATTGCCATTTGACAAAATGTTTGTTGCGAGCCTTGTGTACATGTAATTCAGTGAAATAAATACATAGCTACATTTTTAATAATCCTTTTCGTTATTAAATAAATGTGTGTATCTCTACTTAGCATTAATGTTTGATGAGATAATATCATAGCAGTTTTTTCCCCAGCTATTAGCTCTACCATTTTAATCAGCTCATTTTAAATATGAAAATTTATGTTGTATTACAATTTTTGTGAAGCTCGTTCTTAAACTAATAGGCCTGTTATTACTGCTTAGTTTAAAATTCATTCAGGCTTAACCTGAAATATACTTATCAAGAACAAATTACAATTTTTTAAAAATTTTCTTACCTTCATATTTTTAAACTTAAATGGTTAGAAACTTTAATGGTAATTTCCTAGAGATGTTAGATTGTAATTTGAGCTTTTTACATTGTAGTTTTCTTCCCTATCCATTTTAGTCTTTTTGAGAAGATTTAATTACATACATGAACATATTAAATTATTTACTTTAACAAAAGTCGTTAACTTGTTGCATTAAAAAATTTTTGCTCATCTGTATTAATACAATTAAAAATTAATTGAGTAGATTTAAAAGGGGGATTGAACTAAAATCAAATCAAAATCAAACTTAGATTGAATTTCATTTTAAATTAAAACATACCTTGCATTTTGAGAGATTATCTGATGCTGACTTTTCTTCATAAAAGACAGCAATATTTTTGTGGGCACAGTATGTCTCTTTAAGGCTTAATTTTAGCTAATTTTAAAATTATTTTCATGATATCAAAGAAAAATTTCTTAAGAAATTTGAGTATTTATCTGATTATTTTTAACCATTTTTATTTAACAACACATTCTTTAATTTAAATTATTTTGAATCTATGCTCACTGTTAATAAATTTAAATTTTGTTCTAGGTTTTAAAGTCTTTAAGATGTATACTTTTGAACAAGCAGCTGGCTGATGAGGTTATTGATAAAGTCTTATCAACTTTAAAGTAATTTTTTTATTATAATTGCTTGTCTTAAAGTAAAATATGGACTGAAAAAATCTAAACTGTTAAAAGTTACATAGACATACTTATGTTAAATACTTCTGCTGATTTGAAACTTTTTAGCTTTTTATTTTAAGGAAGCAGCTTAAGCATTCCAGAATACTATTTAGATTTTAAAATTCTGCAGTATAATTTTTGATACCCACATTCTTTTACTATTTGTTTCATTCTATTATTACCTCATGGCTGATTTTTTACAACTTATTTTACTTTTCCAAGGTTTAAAAAATTATATGAGTTATAAAAAAATAATTAGAATAGTAATTCAGATTATACAAGCTGGTATAACTCAGCATTAAATTTAATGTAAGTGAAATTGTGAGAAAAGGGCTTACTGTATTTTGAGAATGCTTTTTGTTTTTTTAGTAACATTGCATGCATGCAGGTTCATAATCGATTGAATGCACACAGAACAAATGATAGTTTGATAAAATTTATTTTTCCAAAATAAAAACTTTACAGTTCTGGAACTTTGCTCAAAAATACTTGTATAGCTCTTCACAATATCACTGAGTATATCAGTAGTTACATTTGAAACTACTATTAATGTTAAACACAACACAATGCAAAGTGCACCTAAAAGATAAAGCTTGCACTAATCTCTATGCACCAAAATCAATTGTGAACTAAAAACTAAGAAACTGTTGCTTTTCCAGTCTTATGTAGTTTTTCCCTGGCTGCCAAATCTCTAGTACCTTCCACTTCTCAAAATTATTGAAAGACATACAAGGGATGGATATGGTTATAGTTCCATATAGGAATCCATTACAATTATTAATTTACTGTACCAATTATAGTTATATAGGGACTGGACTAAAATGTTGCCAGATGGTTGCCAAATTTGGTGACTTTGGGAAATTTCTTGCCAAATTTGGCAAAAAAATTAGTCACCAAAATCATTGCCAACTTCGTGATATCTAATCAATTTAGCAAGTTTACTCAACATTAAATAGACTTGACCTGTAATCTTATATTTTGGGCAAAGCTTTGCCCTCTTCAGACTTTTCATGTTAGGTTATACAAAAGATGCAGCGATTTTTCTCAAATTATTTACATATATATGAAATTCGTAACAGTAACAAATGAAAATTGATATTTGAATTTGTACATAATAAACAAAATCAGTAAAAATTCCATTTAATGAAATAAAACCTATCATTTTCTTAAAATCATTAAATTTTTTTATTTACAAAACAATTGAAATTTTGATCATATTGTTCATTTACCATTTGCTTGGTTAAAAAAAAATTAAGAAGAAAATGCAATAAACCTTCTTTAAGAAGATTTAATTACATACATGAACATATTAAATTAGTTACTTAACAAAACTTACTTAACAAAAGTCGTTAACTTGTTGCATTAAAAACTTTTTGCTTATCTATAACCATTCTAAATGATTCTGGCCTTCTGTAAAAGTACTTTGTATAAAGAAGAGGATTATTGATAGCAATTATCAATTTACATATTGGATTTATCCTGATCAAAGCTGCTGAAGACTGTTCAAAGAAAAATACTTAAATAAAAACTGCATTTTGTTTAGTAATTTCAGAAATGCTCCGCTCTTTCTAAAATATTCATCCACAGTCTTCATACTTTACCATAGTTTTGTATTAGCCATCCAGCAATCAAGCAGTGAAATAACTGAACACTGGTAACTACAACTGAGTTCAAATCCCAGTAAACCAGCTAGCTGCATGGGGATTATTACCCCATATATAACACGAATACAAGCCAGTTTCTCTTTAAAATGTCCTCCACTAAAGCATCCCTTCTCTTAGACAGATAACCCTTGAATGCTTTGCCATAATTTGAATTATCCAGTTTATTTTGGATTAATAATTTCTTTTCCTAAAACAACTGGAATTTAGTAAAGTGAACCAGTCATCTTATATCTTTCATCCATCATCTTCTTTTTTCTATTGTACTTACTGCTAATTGGAGTGCATTTTCAACAGCTTGTAATCATGCTATTAAATTTAGCATTTAATTTTTGTTTTACAGACATCTTAGTCCAAAGTTATTGAAGCAACTTAAGATCTAAGATTAATCCCTTAAGATTTAAAAATTAAAAATCACATGCATGTAAGTACTAAAATAATAGTTTAAAAATGAGCTGAGGAAGGTGGTTCTTTAGTTAACTCATAAAAACTAGTCCTGCAAAATTAACGAATATTAGAATGATTCTTGTTGTTTGTCTTCTCCAACAATCATAATAATGTCAAGAACAAATGAGCTGACTTGCTACCATTGAAATTTATTTGTACAGTACCTGCTTTACTGACAAGAAATAAAATAGTAGAATAGTTTTGAGGAATTGTGATAAATAATTTAAAGAATCATTTTATTTAATTTCAAATTAAGTATATATAGTAAATTGCGCTATGTTAAGAAAGGATAAAAGAAATGATTAAATACAGTTTTATATTAAGCAAAAGTAATTCATTGATTTATTTAATATGCAAAAAACTTTAGATTGATGGCAAAATTAGATATTTTGATAGTCATGGCTGAGTTAGGAAATGATCATTTTAGATCATGCAAGAAACAGTTGAGGTATAAATTATGATGGAGACCTTAAAAAATAGGGTTAACCTCTACCTATCTTGTGTGTGTTTTTAATATTTTACTTTAAACCATTATTTAATTAACTAATGTTTGAAAGTAGTTCTAACTAAGATTGATTTTGATTTTCTCCTCAGACTTATATTGAACCAACTGGGTAAGATGCAAGACTTATGTCAGGCTGTTCTGGAATTGTTTCCTTTATTATATCCTCATATTTTCAAAGATAGTTCTAACATGTCTTCAAATAGAGTTAGAAGTAAATTCCACATGCTTCATTTGCTGCGTGTCTTATGGTAAGATCAATACTATTATTGTATAGCTATGCTTTTTCCCTTTTAGTTGCCTTAAAATTTTATGTGAATTACATATTGAATTTAACCAAGTTATGCAATTTGTGTTTTGAAATTGTTTTTAAATGTATAATTTTTTATAGCATTTTTAGGCTTTTGAAATGAAATGAATCTAAATCTTGGTTACTAAAGATTGCATTTTATTTTAAAGTTATCATTGTTTCCTGGTAGAATTTTATTATTTTATTTGTAATATTATCAAATGGCATTTGATATTGTCTTTTTAGTTTTGTTTGAAGTAATTGCCATTGAAATGCGGTATATATATATATATGTAAGAAAATAAATAATATGTAAAAGATTAAATTAGCAGCATAAATTAATTTCCCTTCTCTATTCTAAAAATAGCAACATCTATTTGCACTGCGTCATTTTGAGAAAAATCTATGTCATATGACTCTTACGTAATTCTGGTGATGTAAATTGAACTAAAACTCAAGCAGCCAATAATAATTTTACAGCAGTGTTAACTATCCAATCAAAATGCTTTGAAAACCAAAACTAATTAAGACATTAAGACTAACTAATTAAGACCAAAATAACCAAAACTAACTCAGTCTGACTTAAAATTTCATCCTGAACATTACGCACTTGCTTTCCATGCTTTGGCCTAGCACAGGCCAAAGCGTGGAAACGCTTTTTTGCTACAAAATTATCAAAAATGTAATGCATTTGCCTTCAATTTCATAGTCATTATGGATCATCACTTCTACGTCATCCAAATTTCTGATTTTGAATCTATTACATATATATATGTGGGATTTTAAATCCCAAGCTTAATATTTTCCCTCGCGCGCTGTTTAATTTTTAGCCATTGACTGCACGAGTGAAATTGATAGAACTCTTGCCACTTTGCTTTAAGAGAGGAGATGTAAGGTGATATAGATGTATTAAAAGATGTAAGATGATATAGATGTATTAATAGATGTAAGATGATATAGATCTTGTATTAATAGATAAACGGTGTTATAGAAGCTGTATTAATAGATGAACTGTCTTATAGATGTATTAATGTTTCATTAAATGTGTTTTGTTTGAGTATGAATTGTGATTTCGAAACTAAAGAACCCACAAAATTGGTGTCAGAATCGGGATCAAATTACAGACGACAAATAGGGGAATATGAAGCAATATTGAATGAAAGAAGAAATACTCCTGTTAATAGTGAAATCGATGTATCAACTGCTCGAATTTTCAACGACTCTTCTTTTGCTGTTGTTGATGAGAATCATGAGCTAAAACAAAATTTTAGTAAGTCATCAGTTCAATTTCCATTTTCACAGTTTTCAAACTCGTATATAAATTTTAATGATATTGAAAGCTTGATTTCTAAATTTGATAGCAATCCATATAATTCGGTTGACAAATTCATTGAAAACTTTGAGGATGTATCTAATTTGTTAAAACTAAATGAATTACAGAAATTGATATTCACCAAAAAATCTTTAACTGGCAAAGCAAAATTATTTATTGAAAGTGAAATGAAAATTAATTCGTGGAATGCAGTTAAGGCTTTATTAATAAATGAATATGATGTTCAGTATAACTCTGCTCAGAGTGTAAGAGTTCAGTATCAGAGTTATACTGAACTCTTACACGAATTATTGTCGAAACGTAAAATGCAGGAAAAGGAATCTCTATATGAAAATTTTTTGGTAATTAAAAATATGTGTTCTAAAGGTAATATTGAAAACGCTGCTTTATTTGAATATGTTATTAAAGGTATAAACGATTCTTCATTTAATAAAGCTATTCTTTATGGTAGTAAAACTTTGGCAGAATTTCAGGAAAAACTTAAGATATATGAAAAAAATTAAATTAGATAATGATAAAAACAAATCCGTTTAGCCTAATTCTAAAACCAGAAGCGACCATTTTGAAAGTAAAATAAAAACAAATATTCGTTGCTATAACTGCGGAAATCTTGGTCACGCTCAGAATTTTTGCAGAAATAAGAGCAAAGAGAAAAAATGCTTTCATTGCAATTTATTTGGTCACGTAGCTGTAGAATGTATAAAAAATAAGACACATATAAAAGACCTTGCCAGAGTGAATCATATATTTGTAAAGAAGCAGTTAAATGATATGCATAAAGCTGTATCGATAGATAATGTAGAAGTAAAAGCTCTGATTGATACGGAAGTGATATAAATATAGTATCGGAAATATTTATAAGTAATTAGTTCACCTAGTATTAATTCTTCCGATTTGATTCTAGTAGGATTTGGTAGTAATAAAGTAAAACCTATTGGTTATTTTAAAGGTTCCCACGAATTGATGACTGCAAAATTAAATCAAATTTATATTGTGCTTCAAGAACATGAAAGAATGCTGTGTTTGAATAATTGCTTTCGCAATGGAATATATAACAAGAACGGCAATATCTATGAAGTAGCAGAAGATGAAAGGAGACGAAAAGAATCGAATTTAATGTATATAAGTGTTTGATCAAGAAAATAGATTAGATATTTGTTCAGATATTAATAAAGCATATAGGCCGGAAGTTAAACACTAATTCAAAGATATTTCTTATAGAACTGATCCCTATAGAAAAACAGAGCTGCTTTAGATAATTAAAAAGAAGTGTATCAGGAAGAGAAAAGTGATGTAAAACATGGAAAAGTTAAAATTCAAAATGTAGAGGAAAAGAAGAATTCCATTCCTAAAGGAAAAAAAAAAATCACCTAAGAAAGTTCAGGAAAAAGAGAGTAATAGAAAATTAATGATTCCAAAACCCACTTCAGAGCCAAGAAGTTATAGAAAAAGAAGAATTTGAAATTGGTTGAAGATAATAATAGTGAAACAAAATATCGCAATAAAAAAGAGTAACACAGAGAGACTTCCAGTGAAGAACTAGATCCTAGTATGTCTGTAAACTTAAAGAAGACAAACCAAGAAATCTACTAATTGAAATGGATTTTATTTAAAATATGACCACCTATTTCTTTGAGACCCAGACGTCCATTATAGGTAAAAACCTTAAACAAGAAAAATCTATTTTACAATGATTTGGATGCTACTGACAACAGTTAGATCATTGGAAAAAACTTTCTGTATCAAACAACTGCAGAAATTTACAGAAACATCTATTAGATGCCAAGAATGAAGTAGAAGCTGCAAAATTCAGATGAGAACTGAAGATAAAATCCCTCTGAGCAAGAAAAGAGTTCAACATGTTTAAACTGAAATCAAAAAAGCTACTTTTGAAAAGAATCGCATGAGAAAAATTATGGAGAAGAAATTTTGCTAACAAGCAGAGTTGAAGAAAAAGTGTATCACTCATGAGGAGTTTCGTCAGTTGCGAGAATTCTTATGCTGATGATGGGACATTATGGAGACCTGTGGATGCTGCTGCTTTTGCAACATCATCTAAAAGGACTTCACTTATGAATCAACTAACCTAAGACAAGGCCATATAAGAGGCGTAATCTTCCTTGAAACCTTCTGTCCCAAAACAAGATTTCCTAAACATATCAGCGTTAATTTTATATCTGGAGTAAGCAAACAGAATGCTTCTAATTTTCAAGCAGAAGATGTATAGAATAATACTGACTATGACGTTTTAATCTGGAGTGATACAACTGATAACCGTACTGTGATTTTCACACCTAATAATGACTTTTATTTCAGTTAATGTTATTTTTAAGATGAAATAAACTTTTCCAAAAATGTAAAGATTGAAGATACTTTTCGATTTAGATGAAGTTTCTGAAAAATAGAAGGGAGTGTTGACGATGTTATTGTTGCAAAGATGAAGGACAATTACGATGTTTCCTTTCAATTTTGTCCTTAGCACACAATCTTCCCCTCTCCCTTCGTATTTCTTTTCAGGTCCCGACTTATTCTTGATGATGGTTCTTTTACCGAAGACAACGATGACGTAAGATGACCAATGATTTATGATGTCAAGAGTAGAATAATGTCGTCAAGGTCGAAGGAAGGCCGAATGTGGAATTTTTAATCCCTAGCTTAATATTTTCCCTCACACGCTGTTTAATTTTTAGCTATTGACTGCACGAGTGAAATTGATAGAACTCTCGCCACTTTGTTTTAAGAGAGGATATGTAAGATGATATAGATGTATTAATAGACGTAAGATGATATACATGTATTAATAGATGTAAGATGATATAGATTTTGTATTAATAGATAAATGGTGTTATAGATGCTGTATTAATAGATGAACGATCTTATAGATGTATTAATGTTTCATTAAATCTGTTTTGTTTGAGTATGAATTGTGATTTCAAAACTAAAGAACCCACATATATATATGACTTATACATTAAATTATAGCTCTTCAATTCCTCTTTTAAGTCATTGTTACATATTTTTTAATCCTTCATACATACATTTATATATGTATATGTATATATAAGTAAAAACATAAAGTAAGAAATTTAGATCCAATTTTTCACAAAGACCAAAGGTTTCATAAGTTGAAATTCATAAGTAATAAATTTCACATAATCCTCTAAACGCAATAAAGGTTTTAATAAATGTTAAAACGAAAACTCTTTAAACTAGCAATACCCCAGTTAAAAAAATCAATGATATTCAAAGGAAAAAGAACATAATAGAAAAGAGGAATTCAATCAACTTTCAGTGCGACTTCGTTAGGAAGAGGAACATTGAAATCAGTTGACTTCTCTCTTCCACAAAATGATTGCTTTTCTGTATCCAGAATTAGCAGATGAGTCATTTCAATGTATTTTAATTATAATAATTTACCTGAAAATTCTCGCCCTTCCCCAAAGCAAGGAAAACAAAATAGAATTCTAATAAAAATCTTGTACCTTAAATAAAGAGAATTCTATTCAAAGAATTATACTATAAATTAAATAATGCAATATGTTAAACATATTATCTTAATAATGAGGAACATGTAAAAAAATAGCTTATTTATTAACTGTGATTTCTTTGTTTATAGAAAGTTTCTTTGAAAGTTTTTAAAAATTTGTAGAAATTAAAAATTAATTTTTTTCTTTGAAAAATATTTTCCTTGTATTTTATGCTCATAATATGTTAATTGTATTTCTTTATTAGCAAAAGAGAGAGTGAACAAAAAGGATCAAGATTCACTTCCTGTCTGATGACGCAGAACTTGCTTGCAATTATAAATGTAATATATTCGATGCATTTATTATAAGGAAAAAGTTTGTTTTAAAAATGTAAATTATATATTTGTTGCACATTTTATCCATGAATTATATTTCTGATTAACTTAGTTATAAATCAAATATAAATTATGATTCAGTTAATTGGATATTATGTATTAATTTAATGAAAGAGCCTTTAAAATAGAAAAAAAATTTTAGCACTATTTCCTATCAGTCTCAGAAATCTTTCTGCAATGTAAAATGTTATGCCATTCTTAACCATCAGAAATGATATATATGAAGAAACAAATTCAATTTTAAATTAATAAATACTATTATGTCACCCAGAATGCTGCAAAACCAGTAAATGAAATAAAAAAAGAGATAAAATAAATAGAATTAATATCAACCAAGAGTGGTAAACTAACTAGAGGACACAAATTAAACACAATTTGAAGTAAAAACTTGGAAAATAAAACTGACATAAATGTAAATTAATTCAAAAACAAAGCAATAATCATTAAATATTAAATAATAGTAGATAATTTAGCCGCTTTGTAACAAAATCCAAGAATTGTCATCCTATTAATTATTATTTTTTGTTTTTATTTTTTAATTATTATTTTTTTCATTTATTTACTTTTATTTCAGCTTTATATTTCAAGTTTTTGCTTCAAAATGTTTGTAATTTTGTCTTTCAGTTAGATAGTTTACAACTTTTGGTTTATATTAATTATATAATTATTCTCTTTATATATATATAAAGCTAACTTCTGTATTTAATAGGCAGTAGTTATTTTTATTCTTCATTTTAATTTGGGTATTGCCCTTTTCAGCTCTAAAAATAATAGCTTCTTTCAATATATCAATGTATTTAAATTAATCCATATCATACAAACTTGCATAATGCTACACTGTAAAGCTAATCGTAAGCTAATCGGTGAAGCTAATCGGTAAAAGCTAATCGATGAAGCCAAATTTTTTAGTTAATCAGTGAATAAAATTTCATTTGAAATCAAAAGTTTTTGGTTCTCTCCCAGGCTTTCATATGAATGAGTTGCTCTTTCCTGCTTGCTTGCTTCCAACTAGTATGCAGCAGCTCACTTCTGTATATCATCTATTGTCTTAAGATGTAATTTTCCAAAAATATGAGAAGCAGATTGTGCTCATGATGATATGCAAATCAGAATATGTGTCTTGAGGATTATTTTGTTCAGAAATAGTATATGTTATATCTAGTGCTGTGTTTGTCTCAAAATTTCATCATTCTATCTATGCAATAAACATCTCTAATCTATTACATATATATAAATAAAAAAAGTTTAGAAATTTCAAATTAGATAGTAAATTATTAAAGTCATGCTGTATGTTTCAAAATTACTTAAGTAATCAAGATATCATAATTAAATCTAAAAATTAAGTCCAGAAAGGTGTTAACAGTCCAACGGGAAATACACACTTCAAAATCGAAACAAAAACTATTCAGTAAAATAGCATTAATATAAAGTACCTAATAATTAATATAACCTTTTTTACTATAATATTAAATTCCTTCCCCCCCCTCGAAGCATTAGATTCAACAGAGCCATTTTTCTAATTTATCTAAAAAGAGTGTGAATCTTATAATTGAAAAATAATTAAAAGAAAGTGCCAGAAAAATTAATTAAATTAATTCCTTCAGATCAATAAAGTATTTTTTAAATTTTTTAAATTTTAATTAATCACCAAGATAAAATCTGCTTTGATGTGACCCTAAAAGAAAATTACTGTAACAGCAAATATTATTAAAAAATCCTCAAGTAAGAAATTAGAATAGCTAATTGGGTAAATTAAAAACCAATGTGCTAAATAAATATTAAATAAACTTCGAATATGTATAATTTCTAATGGCTAAAAATGACGATATTTACACATACATGGCAGAACTCTTCCTCTGTCTGCCCATGGGAGCTTTGTCATGAAGTAAAATATGATTTCATTTCTCTCTTTAACATGAAAATATTTGAAAAACATAAATCGCATTTGATATTTCCTACAATAAGGAAACTGTTTTTGAATGAGGTACATTCCAATGACCATAGATCACATGACTAAATGTATATCTAGTGTAAACAAACAAGGCAGATGACCTCAGATCTTATGTGACATATGTATAGCTAATGTAAACAAACAAGATCATTCTTCCTTGTTTTTTCTTGCAGGATGTATCTTATATAGCAGATATTTTATAATCAGTCTTATTGCCACTAAAAAATTAAAAAAAAATTATTAATGTAACATTTACCGAATGGTACTGTTGTATTATGAAAGATAAATTAAAAATACCACACGATTGGTTAAAATTCACTGATATATAACACCACCATTATTTTCCCCCTTCTCCATGACAATGTTATTGTGACATTTCTAATTCAAGTTGTAGAGAGATAGCTCTATTTGAAATAAATCCAAATTATTGACATTGATCATGTGAGGATTTATAAAATAATTATATGATACTAATTCAGAAGTCAAACAACAAAAATCAGCGTTATACCCACAAAACTTTCACAGAACTTTTTACTGTGAAAGTTTTGTGGGTATAACGCTGATTTTTGTTGTTTGACTTCTGAATTAGTATTTATTCGGCGTGTTATTGTGTATTAATTATATGATATTTAAATTCAGAAACATTATTGGCTGAGCATTATTCTACTACTTTTTTTAGAAATTTAGGAAAAAAATAGGTATTAGAAAACTATATTTTCATATTTTTCTTTACTTAATAACAATATTTCATACATTCCACATGAAGAAAAGTCAAGTAATCTGAAAGTTAATTAAGAAAGGAATTATCATAAAAACATATGTTTGTTTTATGTTACTGATTTTAAAGTCAAGGGCATAAATTTGTTTTAATGCTTGGAATGTTTTTGAGTAGCTTTCTATAGTAAAGATTTATTTTATGCATTTCTGTTCACAGAATTTCTCAACATTAAAGCTTATTTTTCTAAATTATAAATTTTAAGATATAAAATCACATACTCATTTGCTTGTAAAGAAAATTGTTTCAATTCAGGGAATGATAATTATTTTGCCTTTTGTTCATAACAGTGATTGTTACTATGCAGATGTGGGAAAACAACTTATTCTGTGTCTTTCTGTATGTGATATTACATAAGGTCTACCAGACAATTTTGTCCATTTGAGCAGTGAAAGAAATATACATATTTCATACCTTTAATAATATTTATTGAACAATATAATTTCCATTGTTTCTTATGATCTTTTGCAGCCTGATGGTAATTTGAAAATACCATTTTCAAGAAATATTTTGTCCTTAGAGGCAAAAACTGAAATGGTGCTTGAATAATACCTGTTCCAATTATTTTTTTTTCCTCCCCTTCAAAATATTTTAAAAGGCGTGAAATATGTGATAATCAGCGGGTACTAAGTCAGGATGCAGCAGTGGTGGTGCAGCAGCATTCCTAACTTAACTCTATTGTTTTCTGATAAGTCACCAAAGCAGCATGTAGTCTGTCATTATCGTGATGCAGTATAATGTGTTCCCTGTTGAACATCATTGATCTCTTTTTCTTTGACTGCTTTGTTTAAACCGTCCATTTGCTGGCATATCTTTCTAAATTCTTTAGGTTTAAAAAGCTCATAATGTGTTGCTTCTTGGAAGGCTCACCATATGCATAGCATTCTCTTATTCAGGCTCCAGCTTGATTTAGAAGTGGTGAGGACAGGTTTTTTTCGGCCTCACAGTATGCTCTTTTTGTAGTCATGTTTTCGTAGGTAACCCACTTTTCATTACCAGTTATCATCCACTCCAAGAAGGGTTCATCTTTGTTTTGGGCAAGCAGAGATGTACTAATGACAATTTGATCATACAAAATTTTCTCACTTAACTCATGAGGCAACCGTCTGGTATATTTAAAAACCAATCCTAATTTTCAAATATGGTCTGAAATGGTTTGTTGAGCTGAATTAAGAGGTTATCACACATGGCTACAGTCCCTGCTAGATGGGACTTTTCTGGGAAATGAGATTCTGGTAGCACTGGTTTAAACAGGAGGATTCCTAGAAAAAAGAGTCCCGCCTAGCTACGGAAACAATGTTGCGGCTACGTGGAATTTTTTCAAAACGGTCCCGGGTAGAGACAACCAATTAGACGAAAGTTCTGCTTCTGAAGCCTCACGGGATCCCAATCTGAGTGATAATCTATTAGTGATTGGCATTCAAGTCTTTGTAGTAAGTGAAAATGGTAACCTAGCTACGTGGGTTTCCTGGAATTGTGCGGGTTCTGAGAATTGTCCCTTTCTACGTCAAGTCCCGCATAGCCGAAACATAATGTGATTGGAAAAAGCTTTTCTGCAATCTCAGATGTTGTCAAGAAAGTATCTTGCTATATCTTAGCCTTGCAAATATAGTTATTGATCAAAGATGGCTGTTGAGAGTGTGGCTTATCTGGAAATTGCCTGCTTCAAATACTTTTCCTACATGTGCGATCAAAAACAGCATTTTGACAAAAAAAACTTTCACTAAATTTTGGCATGTTTCTTAAGCATTTCTTCCATGTTGAAATTCATACAAAATACATCGTTGTGAACTTATTGGTAGCCCTGTTTAGACAATTGTATGTCACTTAATAATAATGATATGATAAACTCTTGTTTCTGTTAATTTAGAAGAGCACAACCAAAGAGAGAGAACCATACATGTCTGAAATAAATACCTGCATGCATGTTGAAACTTGAAATAACATTATTGGACAGAACTTTCCAGTAGACCATGTACATTGCGAGATTTGTTATTCATGTGGGATATCTGTATTGGTTTTGGTTAGAACTGTATCACTTTAGCCCATATATTATCATTCGTTTATATGCATGAATGTTCATAGCTATAATATATATGTGTATGTAAGGTATAAAAATGTGACACAAATTTATTAACAAATTAAACTTAATAGGAGTAACTTGATAATAGACCTTTAAATTTCTAATTTTCAATTAAAGTACAACCCCTTCAAAGCACCTACATTTTCCCTGCAGAGCTACAGTGATCCCTGCAGAATCGCTGTGCAGGATTAAAACAAAGGGCTCTGATACTTAAGCTGCTACTAATACAAGTGCTCTAATACTTATAAATAAATAAGCTGCCTTCTGTGCTCTCTCTTTTGCCACCTACACTTGATAGCTGAAGGGCATCTCTTGCTTGGCTGCATCTATTCATCATTAAAAGTACACTCTGTCCCAAACAAACATATGTATCCAGAAGAAATCAAGCCACAATTATGAAACTCAGCAAAAAAGTAAGTAAGAGATATGCAAATGATTTAAATTTTTACTCCAATGAGACAAAAGTAAGCATGCTATGTGCATATGAGATGCGCAGCTGGGAGAGTTTAAAAGCATGATTGCTCATGACGTAGGTCTATTCAAGCGAATCTGTGGATTTAAATAGATGGTACTGTGACTAGAGATGCCACTGAGTCATAAACCGGTGGCAGTATGAACAGTTGTTGGGCTTCAAGAAAAGGCGTATAGTAGGCCATAGAGAAGCAGGTTGGTCGAACAGGTTTATTGGCCACCACCTCACTCCGAGCGGAGTGATCTGATAGTTGCTCGGTGTTGCCAACAATGGATCACAGAAGGGAATCTCTACCGTCGTGGAGGGTCTGAGAGTCCGAGTATAAATGAGTCCAAGGACTGAACAATCATAAGAGAGGCCATTCTGCACTAACAACGTCCTTAGCATTGATTTGACGTCATTTACCACCTTCCAGGCACTGGTGGTACCAAGGGAAACCATTCAGAGATAATTGGCTGACCCTGATACATGCTGTCGACGACATTAAGATGCCTGCCACTAACCCCATGTCATAGGCAGTGTCGAGTAGATTTTAGGCAAGCTGGATTGTGACTGACTGGAGGAGTGTGATCTTCAGTAATAAATCCCGATTCAGTCTCAAGCTGATGACCAATGCTCATGCATGTGGAGGCGGCCAGGCCTGCGGTCTGATCCGGCATTTGTTGTTGAGCAGCATACAGCAATTACACGACGTGTGACAGTGTGGGGACAGTTCTAACAAACGTGTGACAGTTTGTTGGAACTGGTTTCACCTCTAGTAATCCTTCAAAGCACTATGATGGCATGCACTTATGTAAACATTTTAATGCTGGTTGTACTGCCTATGCTATCAAGTTGTCAGGTACCATTTATCAGATTAAGACAGCTCTCATCCACATATTATGCAGCTCTCTCAGCAGTGCCTTCAAGGCTATGATTCAGGACACAGGAACCTTGATCAGACCTCTTGCCAATACAGCATGTTTGGGACATGCTTGGAAGGCAATTGCAGCTGTCCCGGAATACTGATGAATTAACTGCCCAGTTGCAAAGATTATGGCATGATCATCCGCAGGGGGTCATAGGTGACCTACCTGATTCAATGCCACTCTGTGTTTTGGCTTATATAGCTGCCTGATGTGACTATACTACTACTGATCTGTAACCTTTTACATGCCATAACTTTTTAATAAAACTCACTTTTTTTTCTGAATTTGTAATCATTTGTTTATCTCCTCATACACTACCTACATGTTAAGTTTCGTGATGGTATTTGTTTCATTCTGGGTGCATATATTTTTTTGTGACAGAGTGTATATAATACACCGTAATTAAAATTGTGAGACATGAATTACCCTTATTGCGCTGTGTTTTGCCATAGAGTAATCAACAAGTCATGAAGATGTGTTTGGATTATCGAGTGAATTTGTAATTCTACAAAAGTTCTTGGAATCTTCTACTATGTAATTGATATTTTAGTGATCTTCTAACTTCAGTCCACTCATATCTGCAAAATTATTGGTGTCTTCCCTAGTCAAGCACTCATCCAATATCAAATTATCTGCAACAAACTAAATTGTTTCGTCTCAATTTTGTCTATCAGGACTAATACTTATCTCAGCCCCCAATGGAAAAATATCTGCAAACCAAAAAGTTCTAATGTCTAGTCCAAACATTAGGTGGAATTATTATAAAATCAATTTAAAATTTATTTTGGCTACCTGCTCATTATTTAGAGATAAAAAGAAAAAACAAATGTCCTCTAAATAACCTCATAAGTGTACAAACATTGGACTCTTGGCCAGTCTCTGTGCAGAATTAAAACAAAGTGCTTTGAGATTATAAATATTTCATCTGCCTTCTGCACACCTTCTTTCATTGTCAATGCTTGCTAGCTTGTCTTTTACATGGTTGCATCTATTCATTATTAAAAATATAATGCATCATAATTAAAATTGTGGGATGTGGATTGCCCGCATTGTTCTTTACCATGCAGTAGAGTAATCAACAAGTAATAAAGATATGTTTGGATTATCAAGTGAATTTGTAATTCCTCAAAAAATGTTCCTGGCATCTTCTACTACATAATCGATCTTTCAATGATCTTCTAACTTTAATCCATTCGCTATTGCAAAATAATTGGTGCCTTCTATAGACAAATACTCATTTAAAGTCAAATTATTGGCAATGAACTTAACTGTTTCATCTCTTATTCACACACATATATATATACAGATATATAAAGTATCTAAAGTAAATATTAAAGTGGAATCAAAGCAAGGCAATTCCTCAACAATATTAATAATTGTAAACATGTGTAAGATGTTTAACACAATATCTAAACAAATCAAAATTAAAATAAGAATTCATGTTAGAACAAATTCGAAAAATTAAAATGTGAAAGGGAAAATATACAAAATTATAAAAATATGCAAATTATAAAAATTTTCCTTTACTGAAACTCCAATTCAGAACTCATCAGGGGAAAATAAATTAAAGCTTTAAAAAAGTCGATTAATATGGTTTGAGAACATGTTTCGTTTTCCTGGTTCATTTAAGATCAAAAAACAAAAAAATATTCAATTAAATTTTCAATGTCAAAGTAGAAGGAATTGTAAAAAAGTTTATCTGTGATCTTAAAGTGCATTGCTAATATGTCACAGAAATGGCTCACATTCCATGCTGTGATAGTATTTGCCTTTACAAAATTGTTTGAGCTTTTATTCTTCTTAGCATCATTTATCGTATTTGTAAAATATTTTTCCTCAGGTATAATTAACAGTTTAGTGTGTAACCATATCTTTATACATGCTCTGAAGTATAGTACAATAATAATGTCGTGCCAGTTGTAAATAATGCCATGTCAATTCTGCATGCTGTGTATGAATATTTTAGCAATGCAAAAAGTATGTCTATTATTCTACAGATGGAACCCTCATCATTATGGAGTTCAGAAAGCTCATCATCAACATCACATGATAGCTGCATAGCAACAAATAGTGATTCAGTTGCATATGCTTTCATCAAGTTCTTAAATAGTCCTTTCATATCAGTACGGCTCCTTGTTGCCAAAAACATCAATGTTTCTGTCACTGGCATAATTATAGATGACATTTTTGAATCAGTGTGCAATGAAATTTTTACTTATTTACAAAGAGAAGTATGTATCATTTTATCTCTTTATATTTCTTATTTTAATGTAAAATTTCTTACTTTCCTGTTGCTTATTATGAAACTTAAATTATTAATAAAATGAAAATTAAAGAATTTGGTTAAAAATTTATTGATCTGGGGGATTTAAACAAAAATTTGTAATTATGGAATAATTGTATATTTCAGTAACTGTAGTAAATTAAATTAAATCTTGAAATAATATAGTTTTTATTGTAGAATCAGTCAAGAGCAAGTTCTGAAAACAATGAAGAAGAAATTTCAAACAGGATCAGGACGTTTTTGCATTTCCTGGGTCATATTATTGTATATTTTCCCTGTCTAGAAATGGAATCAATTTACATGATGTGTAAACTAGTAAAAATAAAGAAAGTAGATGAATCGCTAGCAGCTAAAGTAAGTTTAAATTTGTAGTGTATTTCATAATGAATAATTTATAGTGTATTTCATAATGAATTTATAATGAATGAAATTGAATTTTATACTTTTTTTTTATTTACTCTAGGTAGAGAACGTGATGTGTTAATTTGATTTTGCCTAATATTAAAGATTAATATTTTCTTTGATGTTCAGAAACTGGCATTTAAGTTTTTCTTCTGTTATATGATTATTGAGCTTCCTTTCAGCTGTATATTTAAGATACTGAAATTTTGGAATTTGTCTACAGAAGAAGTTTATAAAAAAAATGCACTCTAAAATTTCAACAAATATTTCTAAAATTATGCATTTTAGAAAGAGATGTGTATTACCTGCTAAAATACTTTAGTTATTTTAGGAAAAAAAGGGGGGGAATAATGCATTAAAAAAATGGGGCTCTCAGATTGTTGAATCACAGATTGTTGAAGCTGTGGAACCTGTTTGAAGTTCAATAACAGATGGCATGATTATTCTAATTGAATATATTTTTCATGTTCCCCCCCCTTTCTCTCTCTCTCTTGGTTTTAAGTGCTTTGTCATTATAAATTATAAACAGCTAATGTTAGAAAAGAGGATAAAGTGAAATTTTTCTGGAAGCTCATTAGAACAGAAATCTAGCATTTACAATTAATTCAATTATTCCCTTTGTTTAAGTAAATAAGTGAATAAAAATAATTACTTAAAGGGAAAATCTCTTAGTGTTAGATAGTGGAATTTTAAGAATTTGGTTTATGGTAGAAAGGAAAGGGGCAAAATATAAAAAAAGATCTAACATAGAGAAAATTAAGATTTTAAAAATTTTGCTTATTTCCTTCAAAGAGAGTATTTCATCTTTTATGTTTCATATATGCTTGGAAATGTGTGTGTAATTGATATATTTCATGTACAAATAAATAAAACTATAGCATAACAATGAAAATAAAAGTTAATATATATTAAATTTATGTTCATAAATTATATGCGGATAATACAAAAATAAATAACTAAAATTAAAATAAAATAAAAAATTGAATAACTTTTGTAAACATTTTTTTCATTGATCAAGGAGATGCGTATGCTTGCACAGTCCATCAGTGGTTTGGTTTAGCTTACTAAAGACAGAGCAAGCCATCTCCAATATCATGCCTGTTCTTAATATGTTTTTTCAAGAAGTTGCACATTTGGGGGGGGGGAATCATGAAAGTTGTTGTCAGAGGTAACAAATATTTCACTGTAATTCCTGATAAATTTGAATATTCATCATATTTGACCTATCAACAAAATTAGATTTGATTATAGCTCTTGACAAATTTTGCTGTATCCTTAATAAAGTGAAATTCCTATTGCCAAAATCGCAACTGATTGTCTGCCTCAACAAAGTCAGATAATATTCATAACTTTGTCATCAATTTGAGTTGTCATTCCAGATTTTCTAAAATACTTCTGTGTATCCTGTTTTAAAAATTGCTTATCTAAAGTTTTTTCCCACCATTTTTGGTTGCATAACTTTTGAACTTTGAAACTTGACTGTGTCTAAATTAGTTTATTTTGGATACATCTTGGATCAACATCTGGCCTGATAAACAATGATGCTAAGTTTCATCATCTGACTGTATAAGCATATATGGGTTTCTGATAAAATCTGTAGAGAAAATTAAGATTTCTTTATTAAATTTATTTTTAATAATGTTTATGAAATCTTCAGTAATTAATATATTACAGTTTTAAAAGAAGGAATGATTTATTTTTCTTCATTTTCTTTAAGATGTAATATCATGCAGAATTTTGGACACTAATTTTTGCACAAATTTGTATATCTTTCTATAATAAGAAGGAGAGATATGGATAAAATTCTAAACTACATTCATATAATGTAAATTCTCTTCTTAACAGCAAGCAAGACAAGTGTAGTGCTATCACACAGAACTGCACATTTTAAGTCTTCAAGTCAAGGCTTTCTGCTGTTAGTGCTTTTTTTACAAGTGTTTTTAATCCTTTGACATTATTTTATTTTCAAAGAAAATTTATTCATGCAAAATAATTTTAATGTATAAAATTATGTACATCACAAATTTAAAACCGAAAGTAATTGAAACAAGCCTTTAAAACTCAAAGCAAAAGCTTTTTGTTGTAACTTATTTCATTTTCCAACAAACTTGCTTAAATTGATTTATCGTAAAAATATTCAAAAATAGAATATTAGCATCCATTGCATTAAATGCAGTTCTTCAGGTTAAGATAAATTTTGTATGTTAAATGATGACTATTACTTATTTAATGAAATAATCTTGTATCCTATTACAGGTCGTACAGCAAATTTCTTCCATTTTGGGATATAGGAGCATGCGAGATCTTGTTGAATCTCATTTAGTCAATATCTTACATAAATGGATAAAAGATAAATATTCTTGGAAAGAGTTCCCTTTTATATTGCTAGATGTGGAATCTATTGAGTCATTTATCTTGTAAGTGATGTTTATTTGTTATATTATTTTATTAACATAAAATTGATAATTTAAGCTAACACCATTGACCTGGTTTGGTGTGTAGTACAAGCTAATTTTATGTATTACATAAAGTTCTGTCACATCTTCTTTCTGTTTATATACATGAGCCAGTACACAGCATAAATTCAGTGGTTATATACAAGGGGCCATTCTGAAATTTTTAAGGCTCAACTAAATGGTACAAATTAAAAGTTGTTCTCTCCAATATCAATGCACTTTTATAAATGAATTTTCTCAGAATGAAAACAGCAGCCATGTAAATTTTGTTTTAGATTAAAAAAAAAAAAAAAAAAAAAAAAAAGGGCTAAAAGTCACACATAGCAGAATCAGAAGAACGGTGTGGATATTCTATTACTTTAATGGTGGCAAACCAGTTAGCTACAACTGTCTTCTGTCCTTCTAACTTGATGGCTTTGACCAGTCATGTACTTCTGAAACATTGTTCATTGTCTTCCCACCATTTTTAATTTGGGAGATATGCTGGGCTCCAATACTTACATACATCTGTACTTTGTTATGTATTAAATTTGGGAGGAGTCACTCTTGAAAATAACACTGTTAATATGAAGGATTATTTTAATGTAGGTTGCATTCCCTTTATATTCTATATTAAGTTTTTATACTAGGAATGCAATATTGCTTTGTTATTAATAGCATAATGATTATTTTTTTAACTATTCTCACTTATGTATAGTTTTCTGAAGTATAAAACATAATCTTCAAAATTATTTCGTCTTAACTTATGAAATAACAGATCGTTCAATAAGTCCCAGGACTAACTAAGAAAATGACATCCATTTCACAAAATTTATGTTTATTCATCAACATAATCACCATAGAGAGCTATGCAATAATTCCAACACTTTTCTAACTTTTTGATACCATGTTGTAAAACGATTTGTCCTTGTCCGTAAAATAAGCTTCAGTGGTAGCAATGACTTCCTCATTCGAACCAAATCTTTTCCCCTGGAGCATTTTTTGAGATTAGCAAACAGCCAGTAGTTGCTGGGGGCTAGATCTGAGGAGTATGATGGGTGGGAAAGCAGAGTGAAGCTCAATTTGTTCATTGTAACCAGTGTTTGCATTGACTTGTGGCTCGGGCTTCATGTGTGGTCCTTTTTTTTTTACGATTTCATCCTTCAGACGCACTATTAACTCACTGTAATAGGCACTATTGATAGATTTTCTCTTTTCAAGGTAGTCGATGTAAATTATACCTTATGCATCCCAAAACTGATGCCATGATTTTGCCAGCTGACTGTTGCGTTTTTGGATGCTTCAGATGTCTTTCACCGGCTGCACGCCTATCAGCTGACTGCCACTTTGACTCTGGAGGGAAATAATGCATCCATGTTTCATCCATTGTCACATACCAGTGCAAGAAATCCTGTTTATTGCGAGTAAACAGTGACAAAGAGCTTTGTGAATCGTCGACTCGTTGTTGTTTTTGTTCCATTGAGAGAACATGCGGCACCCATTTGGAAAACACTTTTTCATGCCCAACTTTTCATGTAAAATTGTATACGCACTTCCAGTTTATATGTTTACCATCTCAGCAATCTCATGAACTTTCACTTTGCGGTCATTCATCACGATTTTAAACACTTGTTTCACATTTTCCAGAGTGACTGCTTCATTTGGCCTACCCGAGCATGCCGCATCATTTGTATCTGTGCGACCGCGCTTGAAATCAGCATACTAACGGCAAATGGTTGTTTTTGATGGAGCAGAGTCTGGATAACATTTTTCAAGCCACTGCTGAGCTTGGACAGTATTTTTGCCGATTAAATAGCAATGAATTATTAACACTTGAAATTCATTTTTTTCCATTTTGTCCACAAATGCACAAGTAGTGTCACTTTCACCACAGTAGCTTCGCTATTTCCTGTCCGAATGCCATGAAAATCAGATACATGTCATTTGAAGGTTAGTTCTTTCAAAGAATGAAGTCAAGTTAATATTACTACACCATTTGCTGGTTAGTCCTGGGACTTATTGAACAATGTGTTATAAGACGTAGGGTTAGACTACTTGAAATAATTATTTGTTATTACTGCAAACTGAGGTAAAAGTTTTTTAAAAGATTTTTATTATTGTTCTTTCGCAAATTTTTTTATGCTTCATTTTCAGTTGAAGCATTTTCAGAGCTGTTTTATGGTGGTATTTTCTTTGCTTTTTTTCAGAGATTTTTTCAAGTTTCTGGTACCAGTTTTGTTTTATTATGGGGATAATGAATCAATATCTGAGTTATCAAACAAGCTTAATCTATCATTAGCAGAAGTAATTTATGCCTGTTATCCAACCATTCAAGCTCGAATATTATCTGGTTGTGCTGTTGATTATCGACGAAGAGATGCTTTGAAGTGCAGGAATTTTCTCAATAACTATTTGCCACAAGAAGTAAGCATATTCTTTCAGTTATGGTTTATGTTTTTAAAATTTACCTCTACTTTTTTGCATAGGTAAATTTTCCTGTTTTCAGCTCAATTCCAAAAGGATAAAGCCTGTTTGTTACACTACCTAATGAAATTGATGGCCTGACCTATTAAAATGAAGGAAGTTCTGTTAGTTACTAGATCCTAATCACTTCAGAAGTTCACAAATTGTGCCACCTGAGCTATAGTGCAACAAAATAATAAGTCACTTCAGTTGTTATTATGAATTAATGTAATATTTCATACTAAGTTTATGGGAAGTTTTTATTATTTTCAGTAAATAGTAAGATAATATGATATACTATTTCATCACACTGCAAGTAAGACAAACTGATATTTACAGTGTTGCAAAGAATTAATTAAAGAAATGTCCCCATAACTGAATAATATGTTCCAAAACTTACCACAAATATATAAAATCAAAAATAAGATTAGTGTAGGAAATGGCTGTGTAACTGTAACTGATTTTATGCAACTATAAAGCGCCACCTAGTTAAATGGGCAACTGAATATGAGCGACGATGACGAATACAGAAGTGTAGTGATGCTGTAGAGACATTAGGTTATTTTGATACTGGCGACCTGGAACATGAGCAATGCCTTCACCGAGACTCGAAACTGGACCTTTCAAATACGCGCCTAACTGTTGCACCATGAATGCATGTTGGAAGGAGGGAGAAAATACCTTATATACCCCTTCCACCGTTTGAAGGCAACTGAGGATTAGGGGACCTATTCACCAAATACTGGTGGTGAAGAATCATCACCCACCATTTTTTTTGTTCGGGCTCCACTGTAGTGTCATTAGGTTACCTTGGTACTGGAGACGTGAAACATGAACAATGTCCTCGCTGAGACTCGAATGTGTGTCAAGTGCACTAACCGTTACACCATGAAGGCATGCTGAAAGGAGGGAGAAAATACCTTATAACGTAATGGTTATTCTTCTTTTCATCACTATTAATCCATAAAAATCAATCATAATTTAATAAAAACTTGTTGAGGGTTTTAAGCCATTGGTGACTTTTTTTTCCCTTTTTTGCATAATAGTAGAACAGGAATAGAGTAATAATTTTGCATAATAATAGAACATAGAATAAAATTACATAGAACAGGATATTTTTGTAATATGCATAAATATGGTTATGTTTAATAGATAAATTGTGTAAATAATACATTATCAGCATTAAACTAGAATAAAGTATTATGTATACACACTATGTTACATTATTTATTATATTTCTAAATGTATAAACTATATTGTAGACTAGAATACACTCTTGTTCATACCTGTAAAAATAAAGGATTCTGAAAATCTAAGTTAATCAGTAAAAGATGAGTGAGAAATGTGGCAATACAGTTCTTGTACTGTACAGTATAACATAGTTTCAGAAATTAAAAAAAAATTCATTTAAAAGTTCTTCAGTATTAACAGAACATTAGTAGTTTAGTTCAAGGACTTAAGACATCATGATTGTTAAGTCTTAGAGCAGTTATTGTACATAAAGAATTTTAAACAGAAGAGCTGCTGTCACACATTATTACTAAGAATAAAATGAATGCTGAAAGGAAGATTAGAAGCCAAGATTAAGTCAAATGTTCTCTGACTACTTATAGATTGAATATCCTTATTAACATATTTATAATCATCAAATAGAGTATAGCTCACGAGCGGTAAAGTCGCTGAACACTGGTAGTTCGGTCCGAGGTTCGAATCCCGTGAACAGGCTGGCTGCATGGGTGTTTTCGTGGTTTTCCCCATGTGTGTAACGTGTATACGAGCCAGTTTCCCTTAGAAAGTCCTCCACGAAGGCATCCCTCCCTTTAGGCAGATAGCCTCCAAGGCTTTGCCATAATCACACACACATCAAATAGAGTATAACCTCGGAATTTGTTGGATTCTCTGTATTTTAAGAATACATATAAGATTCTGCAATGACTGTTCTATTTCCCATGTTACGTTACAGCAGTTTGAAACAAGAGTGCTGATGCATTGGTAGACAGTACTGTGTATGTTTGATCTACAATATTTTGACTATTAACTTTGGAATTAATTTGCCAATTAACTTCTATCTCAAAGCTTATAACATACGAAACTTAAGGCCTTCCTCTCACTTTACAGCTTGGAATTGCAAATAAGTGAATAGTAAATTAGCAGATAGAAGGACATAAGTGTACTGTAAATTTGCTGTTATTTACTTACATATATATATATATTTTAATATAACTAGTTTGTAAACTGGTTTGATTTGTGAGGTTCAGGAAACGCTCATGATTTTACCTTTTACTCTAATTCATTCATTTTTATTATTAAAATTCAGATTGAAGAAAGTACATAGGTAAATTTAACAAGCATATGTCTGCTGTACATTTATTTAAAAAGTTAAATAATATATTGGGTTCTTCGGATTTTTTTTCTTTTTTCTTTCTTTCTTTTTTTTTTTTTTTTTTTTTTTTTTTTTTTGAAAATGCAAGAAGATATTTCTTTATAGTGAATAAATATTTTATTAAATTATATACTGGAATTCTATACTAGCATTTTGTCCATACTGGTCCAATACCTTTTGCTACCTTTCTGGCAGTAGCATGATTCCACGCTCATTATATATATATATATATATATTTTTTCCTTTGATGGCAAAAAACCGATCCAGGTGATTTTTTACCTCCTCATTTGAAGTGAAGTTTTTACTGTCTAAAAATTTTTGTAGAGAACTGAACAAATAATAATTAGAAGGTGCTAGATCCGGAGAATATGGTAAGTGTGGCAGTATATCCCATCCAAGCTGTAAAAGCTTTTGGCGAATTACCAAACTTATATGAGGTTTCATATTATCTTGGTGGAACACTATACCTTTTATATTAATCTATTCTGGCCTTTTCTGTTTAAATTAATCATTCAGTTTGTCCAGCTGATGACAGTACACTTCAGAACTGATTGTTGTGTTGTCTGGTAAAAGGTTAAAAAGAAACGATTCCTTTGAAATCACACCAGATGGATAGCATCACCTTTTTTTGATGAATATTGGCTTTTGAAGTGCTTTGAGCCAGTTCATCGTTTTTACTTTATGATCTCTTGCATTTAACATTGTTCTAGACAACCCATTTCTCGTCCCCAGTGATGATGCACTTCAAAAATGGTCATTTTTCTTGACATTTGAGAAGCAAATCACAGACGTCAAAAAGACATCCATGACAAGCGCCAGCGACGGCACAAATTTCTTTCTTTAAGAACATAAGGAACCCATATGTCAAACTTTGAGATTAAACCTAGGCATTTGAAATTAATATGAACAGTCAAATTCAATAAATTTAATCTCTCAGCAATCTCACGATTTGTTATTTGCCAGTTTTCATCAATTAATGCCACTACCGTGTCTTCCTCAGCTTTAACTGTACTTCCAGAACATGGTGCATCTTCAAGGTCAAAATTGCCAAATCAAAATTTTGTAAAACATTTTTGGCATTGGCGTTTTGTCAGTATGTCTTCTTCATACACATCAGATATTCTTTTTATTGCTTGAACAACATTTTTACCTTTTCAATAGTAAAACATGCCAAAAATGCTGCTTTTCACTTTCTGTGTTTGAAATGGCACCAACCAAGAACTATTGTGAAGAATCAATCGAACTTTCTCACAAGTAAGCTTTGCTATGTAAGCTGTCAACATTTATAATGATTATGTGGCTTAAATGTGAAGTTTTTCTGAAAAATCCATTTAAGCCCTCTGTTGGAAAAAAAATGAAGTTACTTTCTGAACAACCCAATATTTATATATTCAGCAAGAACTGTTTTTCTGTAATCTTATTACACATTACCCCCTCCCCATTATACATTATTATCATTTGTGTTTCCTGTTTTAAAAATAGATCAGTGTAAAATTTTTACGAATAATTTATGCTTTGAGAATTAGCTGAACATGCAAACATTTTTTTATACTTGTAATTTGGAATTAAATATCAAAATTTTTGTTACTGTCATTATTTTCTCACAAGCTTTTATTTCTCAAAATTTAGCTGCAAGAGAAAGTATTTCCTGCCAAACTTGATGAATTAGTGGTTAGCCTTTTATCTCTGCTGAAAGAAAATGGGAATGCACACTTGTAAGGAATTTTTCTGACATTCATAATTTTGCTTTTGAAATAGAAAATAACATCACATATTAATCCTCATATAATCTATTATTTTCTGTTATATAGTTTGAAATGTGATAAAAGGTTTTCAATTGTGTAATCACATATATATCTAGATATTGATGTTTGCTATTTGAAAGGAAATTTTAAGTTCATGTTAGAAATATTAAGCATTGTCGTAACTGAAGAACTTTTTACTGTATCAACTAATACATGCTCATTATTTTATGTGTTAATTACATTGGGCAGAAATTAATGATGTTACTTATTTTAGTATCACAAAGTTATGGCATTGCATTTCCTATTGTTTCTTGTTCCATTATAATCTTTTACTCCTTAGATTTAAAAAATTCATAGTTAAAAACTTCGTATAATTTTTAGTAAATTTACTCATGAAAAAAAAAAAAAAAAAGTTTCTTTGAGGAGGTGAAAGGAAAATATAATAAAGAAATCTTTTAAAATTTTTTAATAAATTTGATTTTATGTATTTTTATGCAATGTTTCTTTGGTTAAATAATATAAATTAAGCTAATTACTAATTTCATGGAAACTGACTTTAAGGCACCTTAATTGTAGAATTTTAAATAATATTTAAGCATTAATGAATAAAGTTTTTAAGGTCATATAATATGTTTAATATACATAAACATTAGAACTTAATAATTTGTTGCTTTTTACCCAGCCCCAGTTTTGTCTATTAGTTACAGTAATGCTCATTTAATATCTTAATCACTTTGCATTTTAATAAACTAATAATGTTTTTTAAGCAGAATAAATATGCTTGAACAGTATTAGTCAGTAAAAATGTTAGGTAACATAATCCTTCAAATTTAGGGCATTACTTGTCATTTAGTTCGGTTCGAAATTCCACTGCTTACTTCTTATCTATAGGTGGCAGTTTGTTTTAAAATGTTTTCAGCTTTCTAATATTTTTAATTTTAATTTTGCTTATGTATAATATATTTATGTTATCTCTTTCACTAAGCTGCATATTTTTATCAGATGTACTCAGTAAATTAATGCTTCTTATTACAGAAAACTATGTGAAACACACATTGAATGTATTTCGTGCCAAGATTTTTGTTCTGCTGTGAAAAATATGATGTCTGATATCAGCTGTGATGGAACATTTTCTTCTTTCCTTTGTCAGAGAGTGGTATGAATATTTTAAAAAATATTTGCAACATATTTGATTACAATTATATACATTTCTATTATTCCATATATAATTTCTTTAAATTTCTATTTAGTACTTATTTAAAAATGCCATTTGTTTTTCTTTTAAATTTTTCTAAATGTGTCTAAAAGATAAAAGTTTGCTACAATGGTTTTTCAAGTTACTTTTATTTTCATGATATATATATATATATATATATATGTAAAATAAATAATATTTAGAAAAATGGTAATCTTGTTGGTCTAAAAGTAGAACTGCATTAGGTTAAATGATCTGCTGTTTTGTCATTTTTTCAGTTAGTTGTGCATGTTAGCTAATACACTCATTGATCTGAAACTAAGTCTAGAGGTTCTTCCCTGTTAGTTCCAAATCTGTAAAAGATGGTAACCATTACTGGGGAATAATCATTCCATTCTTATTTAGTGCTGAAGTAATTTGAATATGTGAGAAATAATAATAAAAAGTAGTTTCATTGTACTAGTTTTTTTTTTTTTTTTTTCCTGGTATGATTTTAAAATGTTTTTTGTTTTATACATTTCTTTTCTTTCTTTCTAAAAAAAAAAAAAAAAAAAAAAATTGGACATAACATAAAAATTTATGAAATATTAATTTTATATATTTTTTAAAATCCATATCAACATTTTTGTTTTGGCAGTGCACTGCCTTTTTCTATGATCATTATAGGTTATTAAATCATTTAGCTTATAATTAAAAAGATTTAATTTTTGTCAGAGATAAGACTTTGATTTGACATTTAGTAATTTTTATGTCATTTTTTTTTTCATACTGATATCTGCATTTTGTTTTTTAGGGAAAGCATATACACTGGTGAAATAAATTAAGGGAATTTGCATATTGTATCGAATTGCATGAAAGGAATTGAGCTAAAGGAAAAGCCACTGTTTCTAGATAAAATCGCAAATCTTGTATTGCAAATACGTAAACGTAATGTGTGTGTAGGCGGAGCCAGCAGAAAAACAGGCTTTATAAGTGTGTGGAGGGTAAGACGAATTGGTTCGTTAACACATCTCGACGAATTCCTAGTTGTTATCTTGCAGCAATAGGTTAAATTGACATCGGAACAGTAAAAATGAGTAACTGCCAATGTTTAGATGATGGAATGAGGTGGCGAATTGTGGGGAGGCTAGAGGCAGGCCATTTGCAAGTCCAGATATGCAGAGTTTAATTTAACGCCCAACATCGTGTGTAACCTATGGAAACAGTTCCAGGATACTGGAGCCATCGAGAGAAAGTCGGGGCAAGTTCCAAATCATGACGGGAAAGATCGCATTTGACCATTTTAGCAGCGTCAGAGGGGCTACAGCTTCTCAGCTTTCTCTCGGGACCTGTATGCACAGGAACCCGTGTAACAAGGCTGACTGTTTCCAAAAGACTGAATGAGAGAGGATTGTTTGCCAGTGATGAGAGAGGATTGTTTGCCACTGAATGAGAGAGGATTGTTTGCCAGAAGATTGGCTGTTTTCTTCCTGCTCACATGTACACACAGGAGAGTCTGATTAGCATGGTGCAGGCAGCATAGTGATTGGAGTACAGTGGGCGACCGTTCTGTCCACTGACGAGTCCCTTTTAGCCTAAATACTGATTCTTGTCATACTTTCACATGGAGAGAGCCAGAGACCTGCTACCTACCCTCCAATGTCCGCGAGATCAACAATTATGGTGGTGTAATGATGTGGGCAGGCATCATGTTGGATGGCCGCACACTTCTCCACATCTTTGACAGAGGCTGTGTGACTGGTGTGAGGTTTAGGGATGAGTTTTGGGAGCCTTATGTTCACCTGTTTCGGGGTGCAATGAGACCCGAGTTCATTTTGCAGGACGATAACGCGAACCCACATGCATAGAGCTCTTCTGGTAGACGAATTTCTCGAGAGTGAGAATATTTGCCAGATGGATTGGCCAGCCAGATCTCCAGACCTCGACCTTGTAGAGCATGTCTGGGATTCTTTGGAAAGGGCAACTGCAACTCGCAATCTCCCTCCGACAACCATCCAGGAACTGAAAACCGTTCTGAATAATGGACCATTGACCAGCACTGATAACTACTTTTTACATTAAACATCACCATTTACAGTATAATAGGGACCTACCCCTCTTGCTCTTATCTTGTGTCTCGCAACTGCTGTTTCGACCTTCAGACTCCATGAGTTACCAGGAACATGTGTGTCTATTAACTGTTGAATGTTTTTGTTTTATTATATCACCTATGTTCACACCAAATTTTTTAAATCTTCCGTAGTCTGGATCGTAGATCAAATATGAAATTCTCTTAATTTATTTCGCAGTGTATATTTTATTAGCCAATGCAATCTAATATCGGCATAAACAGTCATACACTGTTGTAGCATTGCATAAAAATTCATCGTTATATATATTGTTGCGGCGTACGAGTCTTATGAAATGGATGCCAATCCGATGAAAATGAACAAAAATTTTTTATTATCACAACAAAATGCTTAATTTTCTCAAATTATCATGCAGTATTACATATCCACAATAGTTATCTTTTAACTACTAAATGTCCAATAGAACGTAATTCAAAACAGCTAAAGAACGCTAATCCGCGAATTCGCTACAATCAACAACAGCAGTTTTCTAAACAACACAAACTAAAGCAACTACTACAAACTGAGATGTTTTCCTCCTTTTATAAGATTTTAAAATCACGCGCTAGAATTTTTTCCAGTACTTTCTCGAAATCAAAAGAGATATTTATTTATTTAATTAACGCACGCGCTCTTGTATTTTTATTTTTCCGGCTTAGCTTTCTTTTAATATTCGTCACGCGCTGCACTGCGCGAGAAATAAAACCATTTAATTTATAATTGAACTAACATTAGCTTTTAAATACCAAATTCGTAACACTGCCCCCGTCCCAAGGACTGCACGTCCCGGGCAGTACAATCCCTGGACAGGAAGCTAAACTTACAACTGTGGCATAAATGCATAAAACATTACATTACATATCAAACAATATGACAATAAATGCAATAACAAACTTAAAACAAATCAAATCTCAAATCAAATACAATACTAAATACAATACTAAATACAAATCAAAATACTAAATGCAAATCAAATACTAAATACAATCAATCAAATCAAATACACATTTAAAACAAAAAGGACCATGGTCTGATACTATTTACAATTATTTACATTACGTACTATGGCCATAGTATGAGCTAACCTGTCGTAATGAACGACTTTAGGTTTAGAGTTCGAAGACTTACGAATCCTAACGAACCACGACGTCATTCAGCCTTTTAGGACTGTATACGGGCCATCCCAAGGTGACTGTAATTTCGGATAAAGTCCTTTCCGTCGAGTCGGATTCCACAACCACACCTTGTCTCCTTCGTGGAATTGGATGTTCAGTAGCTCTTGTGTCGTATCGGGTCTTCATCTTCTCCGTCGCCAAGTTGACTCTCCTCGGCTCTCTACAAAGTTGTTGCATCACTTCGAACCGGGCCTGGAGATCTTGAATATATTCCTCAGAGAATGAAGGAGCATCCGGAGGGCGGCCAAACAATAGATCACAAGGCAGACGAAGGTCACGACCGAAGAGCATCTGTGATGGAGAATAGCCGGTAGTCTCGTGGACAGCACTGCGGTAAGCCAGTAAAAGAGTGGTAATTTCTTGTCCCGTCCTGCTGGTTTCTGGAAACCACTAATGAGAGGTTATTAAGGATGGTTCGATTGAACCTCTCTACCATGCCGTCCGACTGGGGATGCAATGGCGTCGTTTGAGTTTTGTCAATGCCGAGTAGTTTGCATAGTTCTTTGATTACTGCCGAAACAAAATTCCTTCCCTGATCGAATGTAACTGAGAGGCACTCCGAACCTGGAAATCCAGTGCTGTATCATTACTCAGTTACTGTGACACGCCTCTTGATCAGGAATAGGATAAGCTTCAGGCCACTTGGTGAAGTAATCAATGACACGAGTATGTATTTGTTGCCATCAGCATTCGTGGCAGAGGTCCCAGGATGTCAAAGGCGTACGTTCAAAGGCGCCCCTACGTTGTAACGTTGCAGCAGCCTCGGCTGCGTCTCCTCGGTCCTTTCGACTGCACAGGCATCGCAAGATCGGCACCCACTTTTGCACGTCATCCTTTGCATTATTCCAGTAAAAGCGCTCACGAACTCTCTGAAAGGTCTTCATATTCCAAAGTGACCTCCAGTAGGGTGCTATGTAATCTTTAAGGCATCAGGAATGCGGGATCTTGGAAGTATAGTGCCATCGGAACGTCTTCCCATCATCCGATTCGAATT